AGCAAACTCCTTTCCAGAGGGCCAGAATTAGAACAGCTGACTTTCTGCCTGGAACAAAGGTAAAACATCTCATCATGGGAAAATAAGGTTTAATTGATGGTATTTTAGTTTATACCCACCTTTATGTTTTAGCTGGCATATGAAATTGCTGAGGGGGCAGCAGTGTATTTCAGTCAATCTGCCTGTTCTGTTCCCCACTCTGTCCCTGGTGAATCCTCTCACCTCCCACACCTCTGGCCTGTACCCCAGTTCTTGTATGCATAAATAAATAAATCTTTTTTTTTTAAAAAAGAAAATTGCTGAGGGGGAATCTATTATTTAAACCAATGCCTCAACTGATGAAGAACCTGTCTCATGGTTTCGAGACATGTCGTTATTTTTTAGGTCAGATAACATGAAAAATGTCTGGGTATATGTGGTCTTAAACTATGTTAACATAGTGAGGCTCCCTAGGTTTCATGAGATTGCTTACTCTACTTACTTACCTCTGCCTTCTGTTGGGATGAAAGGATGTTTATGGCGTGGTTCTAATTCCAGACATTTTTTTTCTGGGTGCCTCCTCCACATTCAAGAGTGCCATAGGTAAGCCTCTACTTCCACCTATAGTTTTAGGAGTGGGTGGATGGATTCCACAGAAGGGAGGTTTGGGTTTTTAATTTGACTATTAGCATGCTTATTCATCTGTGCAGGTTTATAGGTCATCCATTTAGAAATTAGAAATGGATCAGGTTTAACTTTAAATATATCTGGGGCCATGGTGGTGGGGTAGGAACAAAAGGCAAAGTAAAAATTCCCAGCCTCCTATTAAGTAGGCTGCAAAACACTTAGAGATGAAAAGGCTGTAATAGTCACCTGAATAAAAGATAATTTGCATAAAAATTTCTTGGCAGGGAAATTTGGAAATGACTGATTTGGGACTTTATTTTTGCAAACCTGCAATTTAGGCCTTTACATTGTCTAGATAAAAATCCATGATCTTACATTGGAAGTTCTGGTTGTAGTTCCAGTAACACCACACTCTTGTTTTTCCACTGTATGCCTCATTTTTTTCTCACCACCAGTTCTTTGCCTCAGGTATTCCAGTCCTTTTATTTGGTGTGCTTCCACTCACCTTGTTTGCCCTCTTCTCCTGGGGAGTTAGGTTTCCCTTTTTCAATACTCCCATAGCATACTAGGGACAGCTTTGTCATCAAACTTAAAAAGGTAAGTCTGGTTCTTTCAGAATAAGGGCTCTGGTCAATTGATCTTATGTAATGAACTTGTTATGACATAGCATCTGAACCATAGTAGGTCTCCTTAAATATTTGGATATAGGGTGCTAGGGTAGACACAGGACTGAGAATTAAGAGGTGAGTTCTAATACTGATTTTCTGCTGTGTTATCTTGGATAAGTGATTTAAGCTTCCTGCGCTGTAATTTCCTTATAAGTAAGATGAGGGGCAAGCCCTTCTGAGGACCTAGTTAAAATGTAGATTCTGTCTCCTTAGGACTCTAGTGATTTCTGATATTATGCATTTTTTAACTAGCTCCAAGGAAGAGCCAGTTCTGCTAGTCCAAGAACAAAGGATTAAATAACATCCAGTGACTCTTCTAGCTTTTATTTCAGTGATTTTAGTCATTTTAAATTCTGAACAAAATTACAAAATATGCTGTAATTATTAAGCATCTGTCCAGTGTATCAGAATGCTGAACAGAGACAATTCAGTGCCTTGTTATAAAGTTTCCAATGAAGGAGAATGTGTCTAAAATTGAAAAGTACTTAATTGCTCCTGAAATTTTGATTTTGACAGGTTAAAAATATCAAATAGATGTCTGGGAAAGCATTTGAGTTAGCATTAACTTGTCATCTAAAAGTCAGTATTCTTGTCTGCTAACTCTGGTTCTTATTAGCGAACATTTGCAATAAATAAAATTATCCTTGAAGGCTTTATGCTAATGAGGGAGCGGAGATGAATAGACATGTGATCTCAAGTATAAATACAGAGACAGGCAATCTGTTGATGAATTCATCAGAGGAGGAAGAGCTGGGATCATTTCCTGCAGTTTGGCAGGTGAGAATCAAATTGTTGTGGAACATGATAGATACACTGTAGGTAAAATGAGACTATGCTTATTGAAAATGGATTGCTGGAGATGAATCTTGTTTGAAAATGCTGCTTGTGTTTTGTTTTTATTTTGATTTTGTGTGTTTTTTGGTTTTTACTTGCTCAGGAAGTCATATGATTTGGGAGCATTGCCAATTTGGAAATTTATAGCAGTCCTTGATCTCATGTACAAATTGTCTAACAGTAGTTCTAATTTTTATGTTTGACATCTAGAGTAATTTCATCTCTTTACTCAGCCACACCAGGGATATTAATCAGATATAACTTTGATGTCTAAGCAAATTATATCCATGCCTGTGATGAATTCTGATCGTATTTTTCCTCTAAAAAAATGAGAATCTGTACAAGAGAAATTGAATTCTGAAAATAAATTACAGAATATAGTTGAACATCTTAATTATAATGAATTTTTCACTTCCCACAGAATAAGACAATTTGTCCTTCTAAAGTGAGCTCATTTCATCTCCTTGTTACAGTTGTAGACGACAGAAGAATTTTAGAGCTCTATCATCAACACTATTAGATTTTAATCCTTTGTAATTCTTGTTTCCTCTAAATCAAACCTGCTGAGACAGGACTAGTAGCAGGGGTTGGACATAAACAATGGTACTGGAACCAAGACAACTTTTGGATTTTGCTCTTACTTAGTGAACTTTTTCACTAGAATCCCAGCCTTTTTCCTTCCTTTCTTCAGTACAGCCTTGCAGGGAGGAGCTTAGACATTCCCTGTGGTGCACACCTTGTTGTTGCCTTTGAACATGGCCCTTCTTGCTAAGGTCTCAATGCAGGTTGTATTGTGATTTATTTTATTTTAATGTTGCCACTGTATTGGAACTAATTTTTTAAAAAAGAGTAATTTATATGGAACCCAAACCAAGGTTTTTAAAACCAATTGTGTATTGAAGGCATTTGCTGCAGGCCACATTGTCCTTTAAGAAATACCTTTTACCAGGATTATTATCCCTATGCCCCTCTTTGGAGTCTTAGACCATTTTCTGTTACTATGAGAATTTTCTTTTAATCACAAAACACCATATTTTCAAACTTTGTGCTCAGATATTTTTTCTCTCTTTAACATTGAATTTAAGTGGCTAATGACTAATGAAGTAGAAAGAATTTGTTAATAATGACTTCTTACTTCCAAATCGCTTTTGAATTTTCCAGTGGTGGCCTTAAATCCCCAAAATGTAGTATTACATTTTTTTTTAAAGATTTATTTATTTATTTGTTTGTTTGTTTGTTTGTTTATACAAGCTCTGGGTACAGTCAGAAGCGTGGAAGGGTGAGAGAATTCACCAGAGCCAGCGCGGGGAGCAGAGCAGGCAGAAGGACCGAAGTACACTGCTGAGGGGAGCAGCGGGCGGCAGGAGAGGTCTGCTGCACCATGTGGGTTAGCTCCCTAGTGAGCTAGGTTGGCTAGGGATCAACATCAGGATCAACCTCAGGATGACTTGCATCCTGTGCTGTGGCTGGCTACGCTTGATTGCACTGTGTCTTTAACCCTTGCGCCACCAGGGAGGCCCTAGGAGACAGTCTTAAGAGCAGCAAACCTCTTTGGTTTATCAGATGTTACTCAGAAGGATAGTTACAGAATATTTTAGAGAAGAAAGTATTTTAAGAACAAAGTGGATTTTTTTCCTTCCCTTAATTTCCAGGTTTTTTTCCTGTTTTTATTGAGATAACATTTAGTTTATAACACTGTATAGATTTCAGGTATACAGTTTTTCACCTCAATACTGTCTATATCACACCATCCCCACGGCCAAATGTCTAGTCATTACCCACCAGCAACCAATCAGTTCTCTCTACCTACTCCTGCCTCTCCTTTTCTTTGCTGGTAACCACATTCTGTTACTAGAGACTAAAACTTTGTTTTTGTTTGTTCTGTTGCTCTTTTTTCTTTATATTCCACAAATAGGTGAAATCATATAATTGTCTTTCTCCTTCTGATTTATTGCACTTACTATATGTAATATCCTCAGTGCAATCCATAAGTCACAGATAGCAAGATTTCATTCTTTTTTATGGCTAAATTATATTCCCTGTGTACACACACACACACACACACATTCTTAATCTGTTCACCTACAGTTAGACATATGGGTGGTTTCTCTATCTTGGTCATGGTAAATAATGCTCCAGTGAATGTGGGGGACATATATCTTTTCCAGTTAGTTTTTGGATAAATATCCAGAAGTGGTATTACTAGGTGATATGGTAGTTCTATTTTTAATTTTTTGAGGAACCACCATGCTGGACTCTTTCTGCTCTGGCATTAACTACTTACCATAATTATAAAACTTATTGGGGCTCTTCCACCCATTTGTTTTTATTGCTGCCTTGTTTGTTATTCTTTTGCTGCCTGAATAGGACAGCCCAAGTCTATTATTTTGACAGGATTGTTCCTTATTGGAATTCCCTGTGTTCTGGGCATGTGTATATCAGACCCAGGGCTTCCAAGTTTGAATAACATTGGGTTGAACATTGTTCTAGCTGCCTCAGTAATAGTTTGCAGAAAACATCTCACTTCACTTACTGTAGCAGATACCTCCGAAATACATAGGGAAGCAATTATTGGTAATTGAAAATTCTATTCTAAGTCAGTACATTCACCAACTCATGAGCCAACCCATCCTATTTCAAATCCCCATCTATATGTTCTAGATAAATATGGCTCCATGATAGCAATATTGTTAGCATTCCTCTAAAAGAATGAGGTATAAGAGAAATTATTTAATTATTATACCCTATAGGTAGTAAACAGTCTATAAAAAGTTTCTTCTACATACTTTAAATCTGATAATGTATTTATTTGATGGGTTTATTTGATGTTACTCTTTGTTTAAAAGAAGAAAAGCAGTTGCAATTCAACGGTTAATTTTTTTTTCTTTCTAGTTTCCAGAAGAATACTTACAGCAAAATGAATAATCAAGCTATCAAGAGACTGGAAAATCACATAGTGAAATCTCCTGAAGACAAACGAGAATATCGTGGTCTAGAGCTGGCCAATGGAATCAAAGTACTTCTCATCAGTGATCCCACCACAGACAAGTCTTCAGCAGCACTTGATGTACACATAGGTACAGTTTAAAATCATGAACTAAACTGTTCATTTTCATTGACCAATGTTGACGTTATTGGTACTCTCCTTATTTGTGCAAATTAAGACCTTGTAGTTACAGGTTTGTTGTACCTTACTTTGTATAGTAACCTTGTACAATTATAGTTGTCTGTGTCAAATAGTCTTACATTTACCAAGGGCATCTTGTTAAGCTCCCAGCAAAGGTGACCTAGCAGCAAGGAAATTAATTTCCATCCTTTACAGTAACAGTAACAGTTTTAATGTTTTCATTGTTGGTATACTAGGAAATATATTTCCTGCAATGTTGGGTACACATTTCTTCCACGTTTAATGCTGTTTTAATCAGGCTGCTTCTTATTAGTAAGTACATTTAGTGAGGTGTGTTTATGTTTTTCCAATCAGAAGAGCTTTTAGTTTACTCAGTGGTATTTTAGAATTGAAAAAATCAGGTAATAGCCATCATATGTTGAACCAATAATTATTGCTAAGCACAGTGCTGTGTGCTTTGCAAAGATCTAATTTGTAGTTACACAAAACTCTAAGTTAGGTTGTAGGAAAAGTGACTAAGACAAGTTAGTATTTGCTCAAAGTTTCACAGCTAATAGAGCTACTAACCCCTATATCTATGCTCTTAACACTATGCTATATTATCTCTTGCAAATACAAAAACTAGATTGTTCTTTCATAAGAACTAGTATTTTAATTAGAACTAGTTTTTAGTTGGTGGCCATTAGTTTCCTAATGTACTAGATAGCCATTACAAAACAGTGAATTCAACTCTTTCTTTCTCTTCAGTGTGATGTGTGTGGAAGCAAATGTCCAGAGAGATTACGTAATCTGCTGAAGGTCACCAAGTAATTAATGTGAAAAGCTGCAGCTAGAATCCAAATAATACCATTTTAGGTCAGCCGATGCTTAACTTACCCTGCTTGTATTGTTGGAGTTGCCTTGCTAATAGAAGTTCCAAATCATCTATAATTTACCTGTGCTTGAAAACTTTTAACATTAAAAAAATGATTTATTACATACATTTTTCTCTTCTTTCAGGTTCATTGTCAGATCCCCCGAATATCGCTGGCTTAAGTCATTTTTGTGAACATATGCTATTTTTGGGAACAAAGAAATACCCTAAAGAAAACGAATATAGCCAGTTTCTCAGTGAGCATGCTGGAAGTTCAAATGCCTTTACTAGTGGAGAGCATACCAATTACTATTTTGATGTTTCCCATGAACACCTAGAAGGTGCCCTAGACAGGTAATGCTAAATACCCTATGAATTGTCCAACTTGGTGCACTTATCACTTATTATTATTATTTTAAAAGATATGTTCATGGGCCTCCCCGGTGGCGCAGCGGTTGAGCGCTGGGTTGCGAAGCTGCCTGCAGCCTCTGCAGCCGGTTCGATCCCCGGCTGCTCCCCGGCCACCAGAGGAGGGTCCCACATGGCGCGCAGACCTCTCCTGCCGCCCGCTGCTCCCCTCAGCAGTGTACTTCGGTCCTTCTGCCTGCTCTGCTCCCCGCTCTGGCTCTGGTGAATTCTCTCACCCTCCCACGCTTCTGACTGTACCCAGTGCATGTATCAAACAAACAAACAATAAATAAATAAATAAATAAGACATGCCTCTAGAAAATTAAAAAAAAAAAAAAAAATAAAAGATATGTTCATAATGTTATAGTTTAACAAAAGGTATTTTAACAAGTGACTTTCCCTCCCCATGTTTTACAAAAAAGAAAAAAAATGAGTGATGTAATCTATTTACCATGTGGTTGAGGAAAAATAGTGGCATGATTTTAAACAAGCCTTCAGACCTATGAATTATTTTATTGGCTTATAAAATTCTCACCAGTCCATCCCATTCTAACTGGTATTACATATAAAGCATGTGACAGAATAACTGTAACAGTGTCATGGATCGCCTTTCAAATGTACTCTTGAGAGTGTTAGAACTTAAATATTCTGTTCTTCATCTGATTCTCAGGTATGCTCAGTGGATACAGAGTGTTTGTTGAACTGCTGTTTCAGTTCTGGGGACATTTTGTGGAAGTTTTTTCTGGAACAAGCGCCATCAGTCCAATTTAATTTCTTGGTCAATTTTCTATACAGCTAAAAATTTCTGATTTTTTTTTGTTTTATTAATGATTTGATTAATTATTCAAAGTGTGAATTTTCCTTGGTAAATATTTATAGTTTTCTGTGTTACCAAGAAGGTGTAATTTTGAAGCTTTTTGATGGGTCTATAAGGAAGTCTGAAAGACAGTTTTAGTGATTTTCAGTTTTATTTGCTTATTTGTATTAATAATAGTCATATTTTTTAAAAGCCTAATAGTTTGAGTTTATTCATTAATGAAGGGCATTGATGGGGCAAAGGCATGAGTTCAGGATTCATGGCTAGATCAGAGTAGCCTGTTTCTTATTCTAGCTTATGTCTCAATCTTTTTTTTTTTTAAGATTTATTTATTTATGCATACAAAAGCTGGGGTACAGGCCAGAGATGTAGGGGTGAGAGGATTCACCAGAGACAGTGGGGAACAGAACAGGCAGATTGACTGAAGTACACTGCTGAGGGGAGCAGAGGCGAGACAGGAGACAACTGACTGGCCATGTGGGTTGTTCCCTGGCTGGCCAGGGATTGAATGCGCATGCTGCAGAGGCTGCCAGATTGATTCCTAGTGGGGTGTGTAAACCTTTGTGCCACCAGGGAGGCCCTGTTTCAATCTTTGAAGCTGCAAATTGGAGGTTTAATCATCTTTCATATGTATTTCCAGAAGACTTCACTTAATGAATTCCCAGCGATCATACACTGAATTTAATTTCCTGCTTTACAAATACTACAACAGCTGTTCATATAGTAGATTTTTGTGTGATAAAAGATGTCTGTTACTTGGCTCATAGTTTTTTTTTTTTTTTTTTTTTAAAGCATGTGTATAATCAAAGATGCTCTTGTACTGTATCATAATCCTGACCCTTCATGGAGGCCTATGCAACTATGGCATGTAGCTATTAGGCACTCTTTCAGCCTGAATATATTGGGATAGAAATACCATGTATCTTTATTGTTTCCATATATCTTTATTATGTTTCCATATATCTTTATTATGAACTCCAGATAGTTTATCGTTGGATTGATATGTGTAAAGTACATATTACATTATTGTATTCATTGTGTGCTTAAAATAAATAGCAAGTAATGAAAATAGCCTCTTTGACAACTAGACTGTGAGATGCAGTTGCTAATATATATTCACATACCTGGGAATCTCTTAGGTTTATTGAATAATAGTCCCATTCAGACAGAACCTCTATTCTTTACTTACTTCTCCCCTGGATCTTGTTTTTAAAAGATGGAATCAACTGTTTCTTAGGAATTACTAAATGAAGTTATGATTTAAATTGTAACTGGGGATAAGAGAGTTAATTTATTACTAAGGGTTTCCTTGTTAAATTTGGGTACTACTAAGGATAACCTCAAGAAAAACATGTTGGGTAATTTTGTTGTTACATCCCATGTTATTTGTTAGATTGCTGCTTATTAAGATTTTTAAAATCTGTTAGTAAGGCCACAGTTAAGTCTTTAGTCAGTCTACTATGTCAGATTTTTCACTCCATTTTTTCACTAATTAAAAGTTTCTCTCCATAAACAGAAAACATATTCAAATAAAACTAAAATTAGATCACTTAATTTGTCCTAAAATGCCTGAGACTAAATTTAAATCGATTTGCCTAGAATTATCACCTGCTTTCCCCCCCCTCTTTTGGGGGGCAAATTAGCTTTATATATAACAAGGATTTTCATAGATATGCCAAGTGGCAAGTCTTAGATTGCTGCCATGTCTATAAGTTTGCCATGAATTTTTTGTGTTGTGATATTGTGATTTATAAAAAGAAATATTTGGTCTTTGTCCCAGTCCTAGCCTGTAACTCCTAAAACCCTTGGATATTTCCTAAATGAGGAGAATAAAGTTGCCATTAGTAATGTTAATGAGGTGGCCCAGGAACCACCCCAGTCTTTGGAGTGGGCCTGTTGCCAGGGGAACCAGCCTTGTGATGGGAAGGCTGGAGCTTGGAGTCCCACTCCCAGATCATTCAAGGAGGGGAAAGGATCTAGAGATGAGTTCTTTTACCTATGGTCAATGATTTAATCAATCTTGCCTATGGAATGAAGCTTCCCGAAAAACCCAAAAGGACTGCATTCCAGGAACTTCCAAATTGATGAACATGTGGAGATTTGGGGGAAGGGTCATGCTCAGATGGCATGGAAGCTTAGTGTCCCTCCCATATATCTTGCCCTAAGCATTTGTTCCATCTGGCTGTTCCTAATTTGTATCCTTTTGTAATAAATAGAGAGTGAATACAATATTTTTCTGTCTTGAGAGCTACTCTAGCAAATTAATTTAACCTGAGCAGGAGATTGTGGGAATCCCCAATCCCTGATTGGTTGGTCAGAAGCTAGGTGGCAACCTAGACTTGAGATTGGCAAGTGGGGAGGTAGAGTGGCAATCTTGTAGAACTGAGATCTACACTGTGGGATCTGATGCTGTCTCCAGATAAATTGAGGCAGATTATTGGCCACCCACCTGATATTGGAGAATTGCTTGGTAGTATGAAATAAACATGGAGATTGATGCTAGAACCAGAGATGTTAGTCTTTTTATATTTTCACTGATTATTTAACATCTTTGTGTAGATTTAATTCTGAAGTTTTGTATGTCCAGTATTAATTATATTTTTCTGTTGTCTTAGTGCTTATTTTATATTCCTTTTTTCTTTGTAGTAATGGTAGTTTTTTCTGATCTGCAAAATTTATATTTCCTACCTGTTAAGTTTCAAACATATCTTTTATTTATTTATTTGTTTATTTTTAAAGATTTATTTATTTATACAAGAGCTGGGGTACAGGCCAGAGATGTGGGGAATGAGAAGATTCACCAGAGATAGAGCAGGGAATAGAACAGGCAGACTGACTGAAATACACTGCTGAGGGAAGCAGCAGGCGAGTCAGGAGAGGTCTGCTGTGCCATGTGGATTGCTCCCTGGCCAGCTGGGGATCGAACTCGTGCTGCAGAGGTTGCGGGTTGCGGATTGCTTCAAAGTGCTGTGCTTAACCTCTTGCGCCACCAGGGAGGCCCTCAAACATATCTTTTAAAAGACCACTCAAAGTTTTAGTACTATCAAGATACTGACAGCCACAGCTGCATGAGTTCAATCCCCAGCCAGGGAGCTGACCCACATGGTGCAGCAGACCTCTCCTGTCTTGCCTGCTGTTCCCGTCAGCAGTGTATTTCAGTCATTCCACCTGTTTTGCTCCCCACTCTGTCTCTGGTGAATCCTCTCACCTCCCCCACCCCCACATCTCTGGCTATACCCCAGTTCTTATATGCATAAATAAATAAAAATAAATCTCTAGGGCCTCCCCATGGCGCAGCGGTTGAGCGCTGGGTTGCAAAACTGCCTGCAGCCTCTGCAGCACCGGTTCAATCCCCAGCTGCTCCCCGGCCACCGGAGCAGGGTCCTACATGACACGAGACCTCTCCTGCTGCCTGCTACTCCCCTCAGCAGTGTACTTCGGTCCTTCTGCTTGCTCTGCTCCCCGCTCTGGCTCTGGTGAATTCTCTCACCCTCCCGTGCTTCTGACTATACCTAGTGCTTATATAAATAAACAAACAAACAAACAAACATAAATAAATAAATCTTTAAAAAAAGAAAGACCACTCTTAAAAACAATAACAGCTGTTGAATTATGTTTCACACCCATAGGTTTGCACAGTTTTTCCTGTGTCCCTTGTTTGATGAGAGTTGCAAAGACAGAGAAGTGAATGCAGTTGATTCAGAACATGAGAAGAATGTGATGAACGATGCCTGGAGACTCTTCCAGTTGGAAAAAGCTACAGGGAATCCCAAACATCCCTTCAGCAAATTTGGGACAGGTTTGTCAACAGTGGCTTTCATGCATTGGTTCTTCCTGAAAGCAGAAGCAGTTGCATTTTAAAAAATACTTTAAAGCATGACAGTAAAAATTTAGTTCTGGTTAGGTTTTTAGTGATCTGTTACTCTGTATATAACCCCACAGACTCTGTGGGAGCATCTGGGTTTAGTCAGCTAGAAAGGAAATAAAAGGAGAAGTCAAGGAGTGGATGAGGAGAGAAAAGCAGGTACTCTTTCGTGTATAAATGGAATGAAGGGCAAAGTTGGATGGCACATGGAAGTAGAGAAGGGTGCTGTATTTCAGCATTTGAGTGACTTATGAGTGACATTTTTCTTGTTATTTCTTCTAATATGCTTTGTACCATGTGTCAGGGGATTATAAGATTCTGAGGAGGGTATTATAAGTGAACCCACATTCTCTCGATTGACAAGTAGTTTTTTTTTTTAAGTTCCCCCACATATAAAGTGCACTAGAAAATGCAGAGACGTGTAATCAATGTCTTTATACTGAAAGTGCTTACAGGTTAGTTGGAGAGACAAGGCACACCCTAGGTTTTACTGGAGTATAAACTCAGTTTTGATTTTCCAAGGTCATTGTCTCTTCTTTACTTCCTCCTCTTTGCTAATTTTTAATTGAGTGTTGTGCTAAGCATTTAACCTGGATTATATCACTTAATTCTTACAAAATCACCAGTAGATATATGTTCTTATTATTTCTGTCATAAAGGTAAGGAAGTTAAGACTTAAGAAATGATAATTAAATTGTTTGGGGTCACTCACCTTTGAAGTGCTGGAGCCAGGATCCAAACCCAGATCTGTTGCTTTTTGCCACTGTTCTATTCTGCCTTGTTTAGGGTTGCCTAAGATTGAATTCTCTTCAATGGTGGATAGGATTTTCTTAGGCAGAAAGAAGAACCATTTAACATAAAGAACCATTTAATGTAAATTGTGAGTGGTAAATGCCACACACTCACTAGAGGTAAGATGGTAGTGTAAATGTCTGTGTAGGTTTTGGGACTGAGTATCAAGCCAGTCTGAATGCAGAGCCTGTATTTTTTGTGATATTAGGTTGACCCTCAAAACTGTGACAAGAAGAAAAGACGAAGGAATAAGCCCAGTGTCTTTTGGAGAACATGAATTGGAATAGTTTAGCTATAGCAAAGAATGCTTTTGTATAGGAGAGCATGAAGGAATGGAGTGAGGAAATGGATTTGAACAAAAAAGATATTGTGCAATTTGAAGCAGAGGAATGACTTGTGATCCTGGGATGATGATAATGACACAAAATTAGAACTGATAAAAGTTAATCTTTTACTTTTTCCCTCCTGTTTCTTCTTTCCCTCCCTCCACCTTTTTAGGTAAAGAATTTAAAACATACAAAAATGGGCAAAATACTGTAATGAACCCATTGTAGGCATCATTGTGCCCCTTGTTAGCCCTGTGCGATCTGCCTTCCCATTCACCCTCTCATCCTATTTTTGAAGATATCCCAGTCATCATCGTTATACTCATAAATATTTCAAATATATCTTTAAGAAATCTGACTCTTAAAAAATCATATATTTTTATATATATATATACATATATATATATATATGTTTTGTTTTGGTGGGACCCTCGCTGGTGGCTGGGGAACGAACCGGTGCTGCAGAGGCTGTCGGCAGCCTCGCATCCCAGTGCTCAACTGCTGCGCCACCAGGGGAGGCCCACTAGATATATTTATTGAAGAATCAGGTTGGTTGTTGTATAGAACTCTTCACAGCATAGATTTTACTGATTGCATCCCTCTGTCCTCTACTTTTCCACAGATTGGCAGGTGGATATAGAGACTTGATCAGATTTATGTTTGACCTTTTTTTGACAAAATTTCTTAGGTGGTAATGTATTCTTTCATCATAGATAGCTAGATAGATAGACTTTTAATGTCTGTTTCTCTATTTATGATATAACTATTGATACTCAGTAAGTCACCTCCATCATTCTAATTTTCTAATTCTGTTAGTCTTTCTCACATCAATTGACTACTGCTACAAAAAGAAATCGCTTCTGCTCTTTGACTACCCAGTGATACAGTTATTATAGGAAAGGCAGGACAAATGCTTGATTCATTCCCTTCATTTACCAGTTTTCAAAATGAGTTGGTTCCTTATCCTTGAATGACTAATTTGTTTTTTAGTATCATAATCTCATGGATACAAAAATATTTGGTGTGTTCCAGCTCATTTAGTCATTTGTTATTACTCCCTAAGTTTTTCCATGGATTTTGTTAGTCATTTTTTTCCCCTTATTAGCATATGTGTCTATGGAAAACTAGAAATGTACTAAAAACTAGAACTGGATTAATGAAGTCTGTAGGTGCTTTATTATGACATTGAAGAGGTTTTCACTCAAATCCTCTCTAACTTACTTCTTGTACTTGTATGTACTCACCCTAAGAGGAGAAAGAACCTTTTTTAGGAAAATTCATAATCTCAAAAAACTTCAGTTCTTTTCTAGAAATTGCTTGCTGTAGCAAGAAGAAAAAATGTTTTAAAAGTTTATAATAATTCCAGATAACTATAGATTTATTAGCCTAACCTTCAAATCTTGACTTTTTTAAGACATTTAATATTTTCATGTTTATAACTACCAAATTGTCCTTTCCCTGAGAATCTTTGCCAGACAGATATACAGTTGGAGACATCTCTAGTTTCTAAAACAGATTTCAAACTCACTGCTTCCCACAGAGTATAAATTGTTGAAAATTGCTTAGGGGACAGCAGTGTATTTCAGTCAATCTGCCTGTTCTGCTCTCCACTCAGTCTCTGGTGAATCCTCTCACTCCCACGCCTCTGGCCTATACCCCAGCTCTTGTATGCATAAATAAATAAATCTTTGAAAAAAAAGTTATAAAAAAAACAGAAACAAAACAAAAACCTGCTAGTCATGTATTTACCTCTAAGCAAGTACATTGTATAGTTTTTTACGTTTTATAAAATGGCATGTTAGTGTAATTGCTACCACTTACATGTTTTTCATTTAATTTTATAAAAGTTAGCCATATTATTGAGTATGCCTCTGATAGGTTTTTTTGGCTTTTACTGCTATTTGAATGATTCTTTGAAGGAATGTAGCACTATTTATCTGTTTTCCTATTAGTGGAATAGTGTTGCTATGAGCATTCTTGTATGTTTCCTGTACACAGGGTTGTCTAGGGTATATTTATCCAGGATTGAGTGGAATTACTGTGTAGTGTAGGCTATGTATATCTTCTGATTCATTTGATATTGCCAAATTGTTTCCTGTTGTAGCTGACTCAGTTTGCCTTCCCTCATGCAGTATCTGAATTCTTATTTTTCCACATCCCTAAACAGTACTTGATGTTATCAGACTTTCATATTTTTTCACTCTACTTATTGGATATTAAATATTAGTCTTAGAATATTTTACAAGTATTTTTTTCTAGTTTGATTAAAAAAAAAAAAAACACCTTACCAATGTCAGGGTAGGAAATTGAGCCTGGGAGGAATGATATCAACTTGCTCAGGTCATGTAGCCAGAAGATGGTTGACCCTGGCTTAGCTTATAGTGCTGCCAACACCAAAGCCAGTGCCTGTTCCACCCACCTCCCTAACTTGGGATCGTGCACTGACAGAGTCCATTCTGTAATTTAAGGACTAATTATTGAACTCTGTACATTATGACTTGCTTTTCCTTTCATTTCCTGCTCTTAACTTCCACCAGCTAACCTTTCTGTTTTTAGTAAACTTCTTATAAGAGATCGTTTGTAAAAGGGTTTATATACTTAATAGCAAGTCTGAGACTATTTGAGCCGTACTTATTATCCATTTTAGTTAACCTGAAATAATTTTTTTTGATATCCGAAAGAGCAGGTTTATTATAAAAAGGGAAGGGAAGTAAAGAATATTTGCACAGACATAAACAGGCAAAAAGAGAGGCCCCTGAGAAGGACAGGTTTGTTAGAAGAAAGGCCTGCATAGACACAGCTGGCAGTCTTGGGAGCAGAGCTGCCTCTACTGCTTTGCAAAAGAAGAGGAGGTTGATGAAGAGCAATGCCTGCATATTCACAGTTGGGCAGAAGAACTGACCTTGAAATAATTTTAAGTTCTTCATGATAGGCCATGATCTTGGTATTTGTAAACTTTGAGATTTAAAAACAAACAACAACAAAAAACTGACCAGATTGTAAATAGGCAAATGACATCACGTTTAGACTAAAATTCTGATTTCAGTCTAACAGTATCACATTTATAGTGTGTTGAAATAAAACTTAATTTCTCTAAACTTGGGTATCCGGTGGGTTGACTTTAGTATGCATATTGTAATAATCTGAGCTTTGTATACTATAAAGGATGCTTTAAGGAATAGTCCCTCTGGAACTGAGGCTTCTAGAATCTTCATTTGTTAGAAAAGAGAGGTACCATCAATGCTAAGTTTTACCTTAATATGAGAGCGCTTTAAACCATTGCCCAGCAAACAGCTTTTTTTTGTTTCCTAGAGGAAATGGGAGTCCAGGTAGAATCCCTCAGCACCCAAAATGAAAGCAGATCTGAAATTAATCTAGATCTTTAGTGAGAAATTGAGAGGAATAGTTAAGAACCAGCCTACTACTAATGAATATGATTCCATACAACATTCGATTGTTTTGTCACTAGAAAAGGGTTAATGAATACTTACTAGGCTGTTTCTTGCACACTTTCTTTTCTTCACTTTGATTATTGATTCAAGCATTTTGGGGCTTGAACTCAGAGTGTAATGCAATTCTAGGGGCAAAGGACTGGGTGTCTGAGAACGCCATCTAGTGGCTCTCTGTAAGTGTCTAACTTAGAAAAAGAAGGACTCTCTCAGTGCCACTTCATGGGTCACTATAAAAACCCAAGGGGCCAAAATAATACTTCAGGAATATGTTCTGCCATAGTTTTATCCTCTGCAGATGAAAGACATGCACCCACTTAATGGTGCAAACAGGATCAATAATAAACATTGTTATATTAGGATCTTAAGATATTTCTCCTCAAAATGCCACTTTTTAAAAAAGATTTATTTATGCATAGAAGAGCTGGAGTGCAGGCCTGAGGTGTGTGTGTGTTGGGGGAGTGGGGGTAAGAGGATTCACCAGAGACAGAGTGGGGAGCAGAACAGGCAGATTTACTGAAATACACTGCTGAGGAGAGCAGCAGGTGAGACAGAAGAGGTCTGCTGTGCCATGCGGGTCACCTCCCTAGCTGAGGTTAGAACTCATGCTGCACTGGCTGCAAATAGCTTCATAGTGCAGAAACTTAACCCCTTGCACTACCAGGGAGGCCTCAAAATCCCACTTTTTATAGAGACATTGATAGTTGGAATTCCATCCCCAGACTCTAAATTACAAGTTTTTTATTAGACAGGTAAATACTTAAAGAGTCAACTATTTGCTTTTGACATGCATGTTTTACCCTAATTAAATTTGTTATTAAGTTTCATAAGAGATATAGTGGTACACTATATATATACTGCTTGAGATGTATGAAAATAGCATTGCATCCTATTTTTTACCAGTCTTGATCTATCCATGAGAATTTACATCACAAATTTAATTCTCCAGCCAAGAATAGTACATTTCTTTCCACAAGTAACTTAGCAAGTTCCAAAAAGATCCCTCAGTGATTTTCTTCAATTAATTATGGAGCACATAGGGAATTGAAAATTAAAGTTAAGTGTGAATGGAGGCCATTTGGATCTCATTTTTCCAGTAAGTGCTCATAATATCCTGGATCTCATAGGGATTTTTAGAGTATATATTTTCTATAAAGCACTTAAAGTTCCTAAGGGAAAACTTTATAGTTTAAAATGTCACTAGTATATAGTGTTCTGTCCTGTTTACCTGGCTTACATTCAAACATATTTGATTAGTCATTATGTGTGTCATTATTTTTAAAACTTTATGACTAAAAGCAATGTCATTATTTTTAAAACTTTAAAGTCGTATTTGGCTTTTTCTTTTTTCCCTTCCAGGTAACAAATATACTCTAGAGACTAGACCAAACCAGGAAGGCATTGATGTAAGACAAGAGCTACTAAAGTTTCATTCTACTTATTATTCATCCAATTTAATGGCTATTTGTGTTTTAGGACGAGGTAAGAATCCTTAAAATTTTTCATATACTTGAATAATTAAAGTGTTCCATTTTCACTTTTGTAAAATATTCAAAAAGAATATGAGATAAAACCTTTGATCTATTCAGGGTTTTTGAAAATGATCTCGTAGAGAATATGTAGAAGGGAATTTTGTTTTTTACTGTGTTCTAAAAAGAAGTTTAGATGATTTTATATGGTGAACTGAAGAAAATGTAAATTACTAGTAGGTGCTCTACGCAGATCAAAGCAAGATAGAAAGTATAAAGGAAAAGAATGACATATTTGACATTATTTTAAAAAGCTAGAAACATAATTAACAGGCAGTTGCTGATAAACTGAGAAAACTATTTAGAATGTAAATAGCAGACGTTTGATTTTTAAAACCAAATTAGCTAACGATAATATCTTGTTTTCCCCTCTTCTAATTTTGGCTTTGTTTTTAAGCAATACCTACCATAGGAGAGGGGTGTTTTTTGTACTGACTGTGGTATTTTGTACAATTTATATAGTTGCTCTAGACTTTCTAGAGGGCAGGTTAACAAAATACATTAATGTTAAAAAGTACATCTTTAAAAAAAAAAGTGCATCTTCTAGAAATGTAGTCAAAGAAAATAATCAGAGTTGTTTGAATAGGTAATATACAGTAATGTTTTCATCAGCATAGTATTAGTGAAAAATGATAAATGGTCTAATTGTTCATTAATAGAAGGTTGATTAAATAATGATGTTAAAGCCATATAACAGAGCATCTTATAGAAAACAGCATTTTTCTCTGACATTCTTTACCCCACCTGCATTGTTTTTCTTTTATAACATTTGTAATCCATGAAATAGTAAATATTTATTGTTTTCCACTTACCAGAAATGTTAGTCTCTTGACAATAGAAATTTTGTTAACAGCTTTATATCAGTGTCTGGATTAGTGAATAAATAATTTTTATGACATGATTTTAATGTGGGAAATTATTCTTAATATATTAAATAGAAAATAAAAGCACACTGTAAAAAATACTGTGTGCTATGTGATCCCGTTTTGGCATATATTGTGTAGATATAAGACAAAATAATAGAAAGACATATACTGGAAATTTAATACTATGGTATATTAATTATGCATTCATGCTCTGGAGTCAGACAACGTGGGTTTGAATTCTCAATATGTCATTTACTCTGTGATTGTGAGTTAACAAAGCTACTTAAGTTCTCTGGACATCAGATTTTGCATTTGTAAAATGGAGGTGATATATCATACCTGTTGTGAGGTTTATTCAAGATAATGCAATAAAAGCATATTCCCTGACATATAGCAAAGCCTCCATAAATGGTGACTACTCTTTTCATGAGATTATGGGTCATTTCTATTTTTTCTTTTTATATTTCTTTTTAAGTTTTCTGCTATTGGCAAGTGTTACTTTGCAGTTAGAAAATAAACAACTATATCCATATTCTAAGTTGGTAATAGGAACCAGGATATAAAATGCACCCAGGAAGTAAGGCTAATAAAAAAACACAGTTGATAACCTTTTTTTTTAATGCATACAAAAACTGGTGTATAAGTACAGGAGATGAGAGGATTCACCAGAGATAGAGTGGGGAGCAGAACAGGCAGATCCACTCAAATATACTGTTGAGGGGAACAGCGGGCAAAGACAGGAGAGGTCTGCTGCACCATGTGGATTAGCTCCCTGGCCAGGGGATCAAACTCATGCTGTAATGGCTGGCGATAGCTTGATAGACTGAGACTTTAACCCCTGCCCCACCAGGGAGGCCCAATAATCTTACATGTTTGCTAAAGGTAGGTAGGTCTAGAATGTTAAATATTACTTGGTAGGCAGAGCCTGGTTCTAGGAATAGATACCTAATCTATATTATTGCCTATTTCATTTTGAGATAAAACACATGATTTCAGTAATTATGTATTGGACAAGTAAGGTCAACTGATGAATCATACATACTGTCTTCAGTGTTCTTGGTTTAGTGAAAATGACAGAACAAGTGTCTAAAGAAACAAGAGAGGTTTCAACTCTTAGATCACACACAGCACTCTCCCAGCATGACTGACTTCCTGTGCTATGCTCAGTGAACTTGATGAGGAGCTTGGGAGAGGTGTCTTTACAGAGATGTGAGGAGGAATCAAGTTCTCTTAGAAGTTTAATGGATAATCTGATCCTTTAAGAAGAGGAAAGAAAGAAGTGGAGGAATCTCTGTGACAAAGGAACAAGAAGTTTTTCTCTGTTCTGCCACAGGGCCATCCCTCTAATTAGGGCAGCACTAATTACCTGGATACTTGGCAAATAGATAACTGTCTACAGGATAGACACTGGGGTTGCCAAGTCCTGATGATGTAAAAATGAGTGAGACTCAGTTTCCAAATCCCTGGTAGCTCACAGCTTTGTGGGAAAGACACACCGCAGTATTGTATAGCTGTCTTACCTTTAAAAAGTCACATTGTGAACATACATACTTCTGAGACAGAAATACTCAAAAGGAGAGGTAGATCTGGTAGAATCTTGCTCTAAAGGGCCTCACAGCCCTTCAGATTGACAAACTTTTGTTGACTGCCAACCTTGTTTTAAGTCACATAAAGTTGTCTCAGGCTCCAAATATACCTGTACTGTTCTCAGTTCACTTATCATGTAACAAGCCACCACTGGTTTGTCTCTTTTTTGAGTCTGGACATTTTGGGGCCCTGCATACATGTCCAAAAAATTGAAGTAAAAATAGGTACATTTTATAAATAAAGTGAAAATGCCCACTTTCATAGACCTAAAGAAAATTTCATGCTAAAAAAGACTATTCTCAAATAGTGTTTAAGTACTCTCTAGAGAGTTCATGGGAAGGTTCAAAATGGGTCATAGACTGGGCCTCCCCGGTGGTACAGCGGTTGAGCGCTGGATTGTGAAGCTGCCGCAGCGTCTGCAGTGCCGGTTTGATCCCCGGCTGCTCCCCGGCCACTGGAGGAGGGTCCCACATGGCACGCAGACCTCTCCTGCCGCCCGCTGCTCCCCTCAGCAGCATACTTCGGTCCTTCTGCCTGCTCTGCTCCCCGCTCTGGCTCTGGTGAATTCTCTCACCCTCCCGTGCTTCTGACTGTACCCAGTGCTTGTATAAATAAATAGATAAATAAATCTTTAAAAAAAAAAAAATTAGGGCCTCCTCGGTGGCGCAGTGGTCGAGCGCCGGGTTGCGAAGCTGCCCGCAGCCTCTGCAGCGCCGGTTCAATCCCCGGCTGCTCCCCGGCCACCAGAGGAGGGTCCCACATGGCGCGCAGACCTCTCCTGCCGCCCGCTGCTCCCCTCAGCAGTGTACTTCGGTCCTTCTGCCTGCTCTGCTCACCGCTCTGGCTCTGGTGAATTCTCTCACCCTCCCGCACTTCTGACTGTACCCAGTGCGTGTATAAATAAATAAATAAATCTTAAAAAAAATTACAAAAAAAAAAAATGGGTCATAGACTATCAAGGGAAATTTCTTATTTGATCCAAATGCTTCATGATAGTAACAAGTGATGAATGTCTATAGCTTTATAAAGAGCCTTTTTCTGGGAATACAGACTTAAATTGAGTGGTTACCTTGTTTATTAAAAAGAAAATATTTTTTCAACATTTTTCTTTTTAGAATAATAGTAATATGTGTGCATAGGAAATATTTATCCCATACAGGAAAATATAAAACGGAAATCATCAGGTTCTTCTTCCTCATCTCTTCCTATCACCACTGAACCCTCTCCTCAGGTCATTTCTTGATATTCATCCAAAAGTAGAATTTTGTTACTGTATTTACATATATAAAGCTATGAAGCTATCAGCAGCCACTGCAGCACAAGTTCGATCCCTAGTCAGGGAGCTAACCCACGCCTCAGTTCTTCTATTTATTTAGTTATTTATTTATTTATTAAGTTTTATTTATTTATTTATACAAGCACTGGGTACAGTCAGAAGCATGGGGGGGGGGTGAGAGAATTCACCAGAGCCACAGCAGGGAGCAGAACAGGCAGAAGGACTGAAGTACACTGCTGAAGGGAGCAGCAGGCGGCAGGAGAAGTCTGCGCGCCATGTGGGACCCTCGCCCAGTGGGATCGAACTGATGCTGCAGTGGCTGCAGGCAGCCTTGCAACCCAGTGCTCAACCACTGCGCCACCGGGGAGGCCCAGTTCTTCTATTTATAAATAAATAAATCTTAAAATTCTAAAAAATAAGTTTTTCAAATGCAACTAATCATTGTTTCTAATATTTGTCTTCAATGTATTGCAAGATATTTTTTATGAAACATAAAACATAAAGAGCTAGGGGCCTCCCTGGTGGCACAGTGGGTTGAGTGCTGCACTGTGAAGCTGTCCGCAGCCTCTGTAGCACAGGTTTGATTCCCAGCCTGCCAAGGAGAAACCTACATGGCACGGCAGACCTCTCCTGCCTCGCCCACTACTTCCCTCAGCAGTGTATTTTGTCCATCTGCCTGTTCTGCTGCCCGCTCTGTCTCTGGTGAATTCTCTCACTCTCCTGCATCTCTGACCTGTACCACAGGTATAAAATAAATAAATAAGTAAACAAGCAAATAAATAAATAAATCTAAAGAGCTAGACATATGTGATATTATTGCTTAGCAACTTTTGAAGTTATATAGGCACTGGTAGTATTTAACTGCATACTTTAACTTTGTCAGATGCATTTCTAAAAAAATCCTAGGTTTTCCTGCTTCTAGTCCTGAGATTTTTCAGGAGATCCTAAGGTAGGTTTTTTTTTCTCCTAACTTTATTGTATAAGTTTAAGATGTACAATATAGTGGTTTTACACACACACACTCACAATCTTAAAATCTGAAGTATACCTCTTATGTTGTAATTAGTTTGAGTTTGTTTTCATTGTTTTCTTGCAGAATCTTTAGATGACTTAACTAATCTGGTGGTAAAGTTATTTTCTGAAGTAGAGAACAAAAGTGTCCCCTTGCCAGAATTTCCTGAACACCCTTTCCAAGAAGAACATCTGAAAGTATGTGCATGTATTCCTAGCATTTTTTCTTTTTAAATTTATAAACATAATATTTGCCTACTTTATCAGTGTAAGTGAAAAACTTTGGCTGTTTTATTATTTATACAGTCTTTAATATTTGATCATCAAACCAAACCAATTTCATATTTATTACGGACAGGTATCACCAAAAATAATCAGTATGTTCTGCTCTTTGCATGTTTGTAGTTTTGGTAGCTATAGCCTTGGCCGACTGTAGAAGCTATACTCTAATGCCAGAAGGCCAGGATCCAGAGGTATTTAGCTGTATGGTCCAGGGAACCAAACTTAATCTGCATACTAATTGTAATGAAATTCCACTTAGAATGAAGTCAGATCATTAATTTCTTTTTAGTCAGTTGTTTTTTATTTCTGGCAGTTAATTCTTTCCTGAACTTGGGATTCTTCTATGAAAACAAGTATTCTTCAGTAAATATTTAATTCAGTTGGAATTGTATATAATCATTCTTTTGTGATTTGTTTCTGGTTTTTTCCTCAGCAACTGTACAAAATAGTACCCATTAAAGATATTAGGAATCTTTATGTGACATTTCCCATACCTGACCTTCAGAAGTACTACAAATCAAATCCTGGTCATTACCTTGGTCATCTCATAGGGCATGAAGGTCCTGGAAGTCTGTTATCAGAACTTAAATCAAAGGGTAAGTCTCTCGGCACCAGTTTCTGAGATTAGTACTCCACTGCATCTTTTACTTTCTCATTTTCTCCTAAATATTTTTCTATAAGGGAACATTTTTGGAAGGCAGCTATACTCACCACTATACCACTAACTCTCTATGAGGGAACATTTTTGGATGAGGCAACTTAAGGTTTTAAGAGAGTGAGGTGGTAATTGTTATGCCTGTTTTTGCTTTGGGGTTTTTTTTTCCTTTCTTAATTTGTTTTGCCTTTCATTACTGAGCAACTATGGTTAAATATTTCAAAAAGCTGTTCTCATCCATCAAACCAGAGCGTGTACTGGAGTCTAGTCAATAAATGAATTCCAAGACCCATTTCAGCTCAGGCACTGCTGTTACATCACACTTATACACAATAGTCTAGTCTTGATTTGAGGAGTCCCAAAGAAAGTTTCCAACCAAAAAAAAAAATCCTTTGAGTCTTCTGCAGTGTCTGAAGCTGCTTTCCTGAACTGATTTTTTTTCTTTCAATCTTTTCTACAAGAGGCCTTTTTTAACTTTTTGGGAACATAAGAGTTTTTAAAGAATTTCATCCTAAAAGAAGCCATTTATGCAATCATGTTGATTTTCTTTGGATTTTACAGGTTGGGTAAATACTCTTGTTGGAGGACAGAAGGAAGGAGCTCGAGGTTTTATGTTTTTTATCATTAATGTGGACCTGACTGAGGAAGGGTTATGTAAGTACTGGTCTTTTTGTTTTGAATGAAAATTGACTTTTTTTTTTTAAAGATGTATTTATTTGTGCATACAAGAACTGGGGTATAGGCCAGAGGTGTGGGAAGTGAGAGGATTCACCAGAGACAGAGCAGGGAACAGAACAGGCAGACTAACTGAAATACACTGCTGAGGGGAGCAGCGGGAGAGTCAGGAGAGGTCTGCTGCGCCATGTGGGTATCTCCCTGGCCGGGGATCAAACTCGTGCTGCAGGGGCTGTGGACAGCTTCAGAGGTTGCATCTTAACCCCTTGCACCACCAGGGAGGCCCCGAAAATTGACTTTTTAATGATTTATTTATTTTAAAAAATTTTTTCCTGCTGTGGATCTGTTTTATGTTGTAATGCTATAAACACTTTAATTCCTGCATTTTATCCATGTTATTTTTCATGTGTACCTTGGCCTCCAGTTTTCATGGGTAATTTTTTCCTCCTTAACAATTGATCATTATGTTGCACTTTTAAAATGTGTACTTGACTTTCCAATTGCTCACTTACTGCCCCAAATCCCTTTCAGTCACATATGGCCACGTGTGTGGAACTCTAAATTAATCAGTCCTTGGAGGTTGAGGACTCCATTTTCAAATGGCACCATTTCATACTTAGCTGATTTTGTCTGAGGAGTGAGTTCACTGAAGGATTTGAGAACTGAATGGTTTTTAAGTGTGCCTCTTTTTTCCAGTACATGTTGAAGATATAATTTTGCACATGTTTCAATACATTCAGAAGTTACGTGCAGAAGGACCTCAAGAATGGGTTTTCCAAGAGTGCAAGGTACTTTGTTACACTAAAATATTTTTATAATTAAATTTTTTTAAAAACATTATGTAATTTAAACTTAAGTCCCAGTGAAATTTGTGAAGTTTCTTTCCCACCTAACCTAAACTCTTAAAATTTTGCAATTTATAGTAGCTTTAGTTAAGTCTTAGTTGTACTAGTCAGATTGGCTACCTGGAGCACAATTAAGGGTTAAACCCTCATTTACTTTTTTTTTTTTAAGGAAACAATAATAAATTGATTGCTTTACTATTTCAGAACATAGAAAGCAGTTTCTTGAACTTGTATCCAACTTGTATCCTAACTTACTTCACTCTCTGCTCAAAGCTACTTGAGCTCTCTCATTTTCAGATCTGGTGATAAAAATGTGTAGCACACTCTCAAACACTGATAATGATTGTGTTGTATTCTTAAAAGTGATTTCATTATTGTATCTATGGGAAAGTCTGGCTCTCTTATTTATTTTTGCATAAACGGTATCTGTCTTCCAAATTTTTAAAGATTACTTCTCAAGGGTTTAGAAAAGGTACATACTTTAAGGCCTATAAAAATTCCGAAATTATTTTGAGATGAGAGATACTCTTTTTAACCTAGATAAAAGTTTAGTGATATAATCTCTGCTTGTGAAATTTATGACATTAATTTCTAATCTGGGTACTCTTCTCTGGGTCAATAAAATGGGTCAGTAAAATCATTATCTGTGCAACTGTCGACTTATGAGGTTCTTCTACACAATTTTTCTGACTCCATAACTAGTTTGACTGGTTTCAACAATAGAGGCTATAAACCCTATTCTAAGGTGTTTTATTTTTAAGATTTTTTTTCATTTTTATTTACTTATGCATACAAGAACTGGAGTATAGACCAGAGGTGCAGGGGGTGAAATTATTCACCAGAGACAGAGCAGGGAGCAGAGCAGACAGATCTACTGAAATACACTGCTAAAGAGAGCACCGGGTAAGACAGTAGAGGTCTGCTATGCTACATGTGGGTTAATTCCCTGGCTGGGGTAGAACTCATGCTGCAGTGGCTGGCCATAGCTAGGTATCGCTGAGACTTTAATCCCTGCGCCACCAGGGAGGCCCAGAATCATATTCTGTATTTGTTTTTACTCATTGTATTTGCATTTCTAAATCAAGCATAGCTATTTTTTCAGAAAGTATAATAACTCAATATGGAGTAGAAAGTCTGAAGTGCGAAACAAATACTGAAAATATTTCCAAATAATTGTTGTCATGTTTAATTGAATTAACTTTCCATTTTAGGACCTGAATGCTGTTGCTTTTCGATTTAAAGATAAAGAAAGACCACGGAGCTATACCTCTAAGATTGCGGGAGTATTGCATGTAAGTTTGTTGTTATTTTACTGTATACATTGGTATATAGAGTATTTCATTGATTCTAGATATGTTACTTTCAATATACACAATATACACAAATGATAAAAATTGAAGCTTTATCATCTGTAACATTTTTCATTACTAGACATTTTTCTTGCTGACTTTAAATATTTTTCAATTCTGCAGGTGCTCCTTTATAAAAGCTATAGATCAAAGCTATAGATCATCACTTTTGCCAGTTTCTTTGGTGCCATCATTTCTTGCCTGGACTACCATTGTAGGCTCTTACTTGAGTTCTGTTTTCCATCTTGTCCCACCCACAGTTGATTTTTCCAGGCTCAGATCTTTTGTAAACCAAAATCAGGTTGCTTTTCTTCTCTGTGTCAAGTCCTGCAGTGCTTTCCCATCGAAGTTGTAATAGAATCCCAAATTTTAACTTGACCTACAAGGTGACCTGGCCCCAGCCTATTTCTCTAACCATATTTAATACCATTCCCATTTCACTCTAGCTATGCCTGCTGGCTGCCTAATTAAGTATTAAGTTTATTCTTCTCTCTTAGGGTCTTTACAGTTGTTGTTTTCCCTACTTCTCTCTAGTGTTTGTATAGCTAGGCTCTTATTTGAATCTTTATTCAGATGTCTCTTCCTCCTAGAAACCTTCCTCACTCCTAGTCATGCTCCTGTCCCCTTTTAATTTTCCTGCCAGTGCCTATCACCTGTAATGACAGTATTTACTTATGTGTTGTCTGCTTCCCTCCCAGTCAGAATGTAAGCTCCTTATGGAGCAGGGATAGCATCTTCATTTGTGTCCACAGCAGCACCTGAAATTGTTCCTAGAATAGAATTCATTAGCTATTTGTTGAATAAATTAATTTCTGTCCAGTATATTAGAAGTTGCTAAAAAATTGTCTTCTACGTTATTTTTCTTCATCAACCAAAAACATGTCATTTCCCCTCCCCCAACTTTCTAAATGCTTGTCTAATTTCATTCCTAGAAATTGGAGAGGAAATTTGTTCATGATTATGTATTATTTTATATCAAGGATCCTATAGGTGTCAGCATTTCACCATCATATTCTCTTCATTAGCAATACATAGTTTTTAGCCAGAAGTAAATGGTCATATTTTTCCCTGGAAAATATGTGATTTTGCTCTCTGTAAAGCAGGTGTATTTGGATTTCATTTGCAAAATCATCCCACAATATAAAACTGCTTCAAGTGTATTAGGGAAGAACAAAGGTTGAGGAAAAACTTCCAGTGCAGTAAAATATAGTTGAAAGAAATTGGGGGGGAGGGGAAGCAGATGTAAAAAGATGAATTTAATGTGTTATAGATGTGTTTGCATTAATAAGTTAAACTTTATAGTAGCATGTACATTTGATTTATTTATTTATTTTCCTTTTTAAAAGTATTATCCCCTAGAAGAAGTGCTTACAGCTGAATATTTACTGGAAGAATTTAGACCTGATTTAATAGAGATGGTTCTCAATAAACTTAGACCAGAAAATGTCCGGTGAGTCATTTACAGATTTTATTCTTACTGCTTAATTTTCTTTCTTTTTTTTTTTTTAAAGATTTATTTATTTATGCATATGAGAGCTGGGGTACAGACCAGAGGTGTGGGTGGTGAGAGAATTCACCAGAAACAGAGTAGGGAACAGAACAGGCAGATTGACCAAAGTACTCTGCTGAGGGGAGCAGTGGGCATGTCAGGAGAGGTCTGCTGCGCCATATGGGTTGCTCCGTGGCCAGCTGGGGCACCGAACTCGTGCTGCAGAGCCTGCGGAAGCTTCATAGGTTACATCTTAACCCCTTGCGCCACCAGGGAGGCTGCTAAATTTTTCAATAATGATTTGAATCTGAGAATTTGAAACTGAATAAAATGTTTTAAAATTTTTTGTCAAGCATGATTGCAACAGTTCAGGAAATACTATAATAAACAAATACGAACCTTAAACAATCAGTAAATGACCAGTCTCTTTTTATCTTTACCCATAACTGTTTACTCACCCAGTATTTATATAGTTGTCCTCCAGAGCATTTAGCTTAGCACCTTCCCTGAGCTTTTCTACTTTCTCACAACTGAATTTTAAGAGTTCTTATTTCAGAGGGCATGTCTACTGCCAAATGAATATTTCAGTCTTCACAATTTGTAATCAGTCCTTTGCCCATTATTATGACGTCTGGACTGTCATTCAGGGAAACTAAAGCTATCTGTGTAGTGAACTCTTCCAAAATCAAATTTCTTATGGAGAAAATATGATAATACCACCTCTCTCCATTGCTATTCTACCTCCTAACCTAGTTTTCTGATGTCTTGAAAATCAATCCATAAATTCTTTGAGAAACCAGTAGGAGTAGAAGCAATTTCTAGGACTAAGTCTTAGCAAACTCTGTCATGTATTGAATGCCCTTAAGAAGCATGACATAATATTCATGTGCCTGTGTTGTTCTTTACATACTCTATAAATACAAAAGGAATTCTTGAACTTCCAACATGCACCACTCTTTCATATTCTAAACCCTGTAATTCCTCTCTATGTTTCTGTGTAACAAATTTTTACTTACCTTGTTTTCTAGAAATGTTAGTGATCAGTGGCAGGTAAGTCAGATCAGAAACCCTTGAGCTAGAAGATTAGTCAGTCATATTCACAGTAGGTGGGTCAGATTGCTTATGGTATCTACCCTAAAACAAATGTTAAGGTCACATCCAGTTAGCTACAAAGAGGATTTTATCTGTTATAGATGTGTTTGGAATCTATAGACATGGAATGAATGAATAAGAAATAGATGATTCAGACAACCAGGCAGTGAAGCTCAATGGACAGATGCTAAGAATACAGAGATTGGGGTTTCAGCATACACTAGTTTTGACTGCAAGCACTGGACTTTAAGCTGTGACGCTGACATTCAGAAGCTAGAATCAAATCTCTGGGAGGACAGGTAAGAACAAGCAGCATCAGGCACAGACTTAGGTATTTGAATTTGGACATGAGGGAGAAGTAGAACCTGTGACAGGTCTGAGTTCATGCCAAACCTTCACGCTACTGGCTGAGGACTCCTCTATCCACAAAATTCAAAATAGGTTTGGTCTTAGCCTGGGATTGAGTCTGCTGGTGGAGTGTAATGATTCTAACTTCAATAATTGAAAAGCAACAGAGACAGAAATGTCCCTCGTGACCCTCTACTGGTACCAGGGTTTTTTTTAATACTCTGCTCATAATCTTTTGGTATCATCTTACCTCTACCTTCTCTTCCTGAACTCTTTTTCCCTCTCATTTCTCTTCTGGACTATTTCTATTATCCCATGAAAGAACACTTTTAATAAGTCAGTAGACAGGACTTCCTGGTCTTGTCACCTTCTCTCCTAGCAACAGGAATGCCAATGGATATGTAGTGGGTGTATAGGTGGTAATCTCTGACAGGAAAAAAGCATAAGGCACAAACTTAGCACATAATAATAAATGTTCCTTTGTGTGTTTTTAGTCTTTTGGATCTCTAGATGATCCAATGGAATTTCTTGTTAACTCTGTGCCTCCAAGATGTTCCCAGGAAGATGTACTTTGTTTTTGATTTTTTTAAGGACTATTTTCAGCTGATGTTTTTCCACTTTTTCCTGTAGCCACTCTTTTTTAATTTTAACCAATAGCATACCTACAAAAATCTTTCCTGCAAACACTTTCATACTAAAAGTGATGGCCATAATCACAGAGTAAAGAAATTATGGTCAGAAACCTCCATACATACATTACCTATTTGGCTAATCTTACAGGATTGCTGGCTTTTAGAGACCCAACACATTCTTTTTTTTTTTTAAAGGTTTATTTATTTATGCATACAAGAGCTGGGATACAGGCCAGAGATGCGGGGGGTTAAGAGAATTCACTCGAGACGGAGCAGGGAATAGAACAGGCAGACTGACTGAAACACACTGCTGAGGGGAGCAGCAGGCGAGTCAGGAGAGGTCTGCTGCGCCATGTGGATTGTTCCCTGGCTGGCCAGGGATTGAACTCATGCTGCAGAGGTTGCAGATTGCCTCATAGGTTGCATTTTAACCCCTTGTGCCACCACGGAGGCCCCACATTCTTGGATATTATTTATGTTTTCGTGAGTTAGGTTTTATATAAATTTATTACATAATGTAAGCTTATAGGTTTTTTTCTGTTTGTTTTTTCCATCTATTTCTAGGGTTGCAGTAGTTTCTAAATCTTTTGAAGGAAAAACAGATCGCACAGAAGAGTGGTATGGAACCCAGTACAGACAAGAAGCTATACCAGATGAAGTCATTAAGGTAGTGTTAACACACCCATGAATAAACCTGATATGTGGGGGACACACAAGAACATGAATTTCCTGGATATACCAGCTCACAGGCCAGAGTGTGGAAAGTGATATCCAAGTGCTGTCTGTACTGTCCTGAGGGCAGAAAGCAAGGAGCAAGAGAGCTGTAGCTTAGGTTTTAGCATGAAGAAATGGCGCCCCAGCCACCCCACCACAGGTCTGTCATACAGCAGGTCTGTAAAGCTAACTTGCGGCTTCATGCCATCAAAGATCATTGAACTACAAAGTATAAGGGAAGCAAAGGCACTGAGCCAGGCAGGAAGAGATGGCAGTAAGTGAACAGAAAACAAATGCAAAGGTTCCAGTCTTGCTGTGATCACAGGCAGGGAGCAGTCTCTGGAGAATCATACTGTCTTCACTTTAGGAGGTACTGTATTTCATGCTGTTTTGTATCATTGCTCTTTGTGTCCACGCAGGGGAATTAGGATTTTTTTCAAAACAGGTAAGCTTAGATAGTATTTACCCCATTCAAAATATTGAATTCCAAACTAAGTCATATCTCCTTCTCTCGAACTTTTTTCAGTTCTCATTGGCTGTGTAACTTTGAGATTGTGTTTTTCATTTATGGGAAGACACCAAAAAATTTGCCGTGACTAGCTCCTAGTTAAACTCAAGTAATGGAAATCTCTCTCTCTCTTTTTTTTTTTTTTTACTTTTCTAATTGTTTTTGTTATTTTTTATTTTATTTTATATATCTTTTATATCATTCTTCATTTTTATACAATGTATACTTTCTCCTCTCAGGTGTAGTCCCCGTGAGATTCCCACCACCAATTCACCCGTGTCCCATCACCATAGTCCCTTGTGCTCTTCCCACCTTTGTTTTGATCCTTCCTCCTCCCCTGCAGAATGTCTCTGATTTATGGTTGAAGTAATGGACATTTCTTAAATGTACCTGTGTAATGACTATACAGAAAAGAAGATATAAGTTTAAGAAAGAAAGAAAGACATCACTGATACACAGGAGATCTGTGATATATCCACAGTACAAAGGTAGTGACTAGAGCCCTTTTGTGTATGAAGATCTCTATCTTACTAAACTGGGAGGAAAGCTGCTCTCCCTTGAATTAGAGCTTGGCTTGAACTAATCCTAAAACAAGAGGGAAGTTTTATTCACCAAACTCTAAAAACAAACCTGCCCTGAGTGGGATTTAAAAAAAAAAAAATGCATCTGATTGCTCAGCAATAAAATTACTCGCTAAGTGTTTCCCAGTCCCTATTCTATTCTGTCATTCTGGAGAGTTAAGTTGTCACTTATGCATAATGTGGATCCCGGTGCCAAAGAAATAAATACAGGGACCAAAATAGAACTGCAAAAGCTGTAAGACTGCCATATCAGCTGGATTCCCAAATACTAAACTCAGAGTTACTGGTAGTTGGTTGCTCTTTATTTTCTTTAGATAATGAAAAGTCTTATAAATTAGAGTTCAGTAATCAGTGCCCTGTGATCGAACCCATTTAGCTTTTAAAACTAGCTCATGATGTTTTGGAACTGTATGTGTTCAAACAGAACTGCCTCATTTTATAAGTGAGTGGTGCTGAGGGTACTGGCACATTTCAGAGATGTCTTCTTTAATACATGAGTAGGCTCCCTGGTGGCCTAGGTGTTAAGTCTCAGTGCTATCATCCATACGACCTGAGTTCAGTCCCCTACCAGGGAGGTAACCCCATGGCACAGCAGACCACTCCTGTTTTCGTCCGCTGCTCCCCTTAGTGCATTTCAGTGGATCCACCTGTTCTACTCCCCACTCTCTCTGGTGAATCCTCTTACCTGCTGCACCTCTGGCTTACACCCCAGTTCTTCTATGCAAAAATAAGAAAAATAAAAATAAAACTTTGAAAAGAAATAAATCATGAGTATACTCTACCTCAGTTTCATATAATGTTCAGTGGTTAGCAAATGTTTTCTATAAAGAGCCATAATAAATATTTCTAGGCCACATGTCTTTCTGTTGCTATTCTTTCTTGTTTAGTTTTTTGTTTTTAAACAATCCCTTTAAAATATCAGAACCATGTTTAGCTTCCAGCTGTATAAAAACAGACCACCAGCTGTATCAGGCCCACAGGCCATCAATTGTTGATCACTACGAGAGAGAATTAATGTTTTTATGTATGGGCAAACCCCTGATGTTCAGCCATATTTTATTTTATGTCATTATATAGTAAATTTCTGGAGCCCAGACTCCATGAGTTCTAACAGGCATTTGAAGTCATGATCTCAACAGTATTCTTTCAAAATAGCATACATATTTAGTAAAAAAAACTTGTAGTGTAAATACTGTATTTATGCTTGTAATGTATAATACAGAGTTAGTGTATTTGAAAAGTCTCATTCTTTGTCCAGGGGAAAAAAAAAGCTAATCCATGAAACAGATACAACCTGTAGGTTGTGTCAGCCTTGTACCACAGTCAACACTTAAGGCTCAACTTTGTCCTTAACTTTGTGTTTGAATTACTGGTTCACTTGAAAGTTCGCATGATCATCTGGGAGAAGTGTGAGCCAGGCCTTACGAAATGTTGAAATAAAGAACCCCCTGTTAGCCAAGCTTTCCAGTCATACAGGAAGTTACTTAGTGTGGCTCAAAGTTTTACTCCTATACAAATGACCTATAGCCCAGCAGTTGTGGGACTATACCCGTATTATACAGATTATTCTTTAATTATCCATTCTTTGAAGAACTAAAGCAAACAATCTTCATATGGACCAGTCAGCCTCTCAGTGTTCTAGTTTATGTTTCTTAACCTCAGCTGGTCATTTTGAAGATGTGTAAAGAGGAAAAATAAATACAAACTCTTCATTAATACCAGAGAGGCCACCTCAAGTTTCATAAAAAAGCCATCAGCAAACCTTGGAAGTAACTTCTTTGGAGATGATGGTAAAGAGTGCTGTGTGACATTTATTCCCTTAATCTTTGCCTGGATATTAAGCAAAGGGACAATTTTAAACTCTGAAATCAAACTCTTAAATAAACTAATTGTTTATGTATATGTTTTTCATTATTCATCCAGAAATGGCAAAATGCTGACCTGAATGGGAAATTTAAACTTCCAATGAAAAATGAATTTATTCCTACAAATTTTGAGATTTTATCACTGGAAAAAGAAGCAACACCATACCCTTCTCTTATTAAGGTAACATATTAAAATTGGTGATATTTAAATTTAGGGGACCAAGCTATTACATAAAAGAGAATAAAGATGATTTCTTGCATTTGGTACTATGTTGATTTGGGGGAAGCTCATATTCTAAAAGGTCACAGAAAAGTTGCAGAGAATAGCTAGAAGAAATTAAAAGGCTAGATATGTAAAGCAGACAAAACTAGTAAACAGCATAAATTCTAGAGAATTATGGTTTTTGTAGGAAAAAAATTGCCATTCTGACTATAATCACAAATCTGCTGACAGATAGTAGCCTCTTTTCTGTATTCACTGAAGATCCAGTAAGGAAGTAAATTTATACTGCATCATGTAAGTTAGAGATAATGAATTTCTAAAGCCTAGAAGAGAACATATCCAAAGGAAACTCTTGGATTTCCTGCCCTTAAAAACTATTCCTATATGAAGTTAATGAAGTTATAAGCCAGTTGATTGAGAAGTGGAATTTTTCCTTCTTCAGAATTTTTTTCCTGGTATTATTTCACACCTTGGATATATTATATAGAAAAATAGATCAAATTATTTTCTTAAAAAATTATCAAGAATATATTTTCTTCATGATTTAGCATTCAGATTAACTCAGTGAGATAAAAATTAGTATTTAGGAACATGAAATATAATTTATTTTCAGCAAGTAAGATTATTAAGACATTTTAATGAGTTTTGAATTAAGTTATTCAAAGAGAAAACCTATTCTTTTTATTTGTTGTTTGTTTTAAACAGGCCTTCTCAGCAAATAAAGGAGAATGTTAAACCATTTATGTCCCTTGTCAGAATTTCAAGGTAGTTCCAAGTGAACACCTAAGGCTGGTTTTAGTGTAGTATGAGTGATGCATTTATTTATCCGTCTCTATGTTAGTTACCCACAGTTGCATAACAACTACTCCAGATTTAGCATCTTTAAACTATAAACATTTTATCTCACAGTTTCTGAGGGTGAGGGACCTGGAAATGCCCTAGGTGGGTAACTCTGTCTCAGGGTCTCTCCTTAGGTTATAGTTAAGCAATTGACTGGGTCTTCAGTCAGCTGAAGGCTCAGCTAGGACTGAGGTTCTCTTCCAAGTTTAGTTGTATGGCTGTTGGCAGACCTCATTCGTCACCACATGGGCATCTCCATTGAGTTGCCTGACATGACAGTTGGCATCCTCAAAAATGAGTAACCCCAGAGGTAAAGTGGATGTTAAAGATAGAAGCCATAATATCCTTTATAATTTAATCTCAGAGGATTACATCTTCATTTCTGTTAAATTCTCTTGGTCAGACAGACCAAACTTGGTCCAATTTGGGAGAGAAAACTATATATGAGCATGAATTCCAGCAGACAGGGATCGCTGCAGTCTGCCTTAGAGACTGGCTGCCATACTTCCAGAAGGACTTCTGCGTCTGCCTCGCACTGTCCAGAAAGACAATGCCAGTTGGTATTGGCATCTCCATTCTTTCTTTCTTCACTCTATCCCCATTTCCTTACCCAGGGAGAATGGAGGGTGATTGCTCTCTGCTACTGAAAGCATCAAACCTCTCTCCAGTGTCCTATCTGCTCAGCCTCTCAGTATGCTTTATGGCCATGAGACAGTAGCCTATCCAGAATAAAACTCAACAGTTGCCTCTGTCCTCTAGAAGAATGATTTGATTGAACATTTTTGCCTAATGTGGTCATGTTTCCATAATCAAATTGTTTCTCCATCACAGGATACAGCTATGAGCAAACTCTGGTTCAAACAAGATGATAAGTTTTTCTTGCCAAAGGCTTGTCTCAACTTTGAATTTTTCAGGTATGTAAAATGAATCTATCTACAGAGCTTCTTATAAAAATTCAACAGTTACATTTCTAAAAGTTTTCTTTGCTTCCTTGAGGACCCATATCTAGAAATGAAAGGAATTAGATTTTAGCTTAAAATCAGGAAGACTGCCGTCCTTAACTAATATTGTTAATTCTTTCTTTCCATTGGTGAACGCACCCTTTACCTGAATGGATTTATATTCGCTATGATGGCCTCCCTAGTCTTCAGGATTTTCGAATCTGGGGACGCGCTATGCACACACCCAGACATTTCATTGAAGAAAGATGAAATAATCAGAGTTTGTTGTTGTTGTGACTTTGGTTTGGCATTCCTGAAGCTTGTCTAGCACAGAGGTAGTAGTTACTAAATTAGTTTGAGTCCCTTCAAGCCCTTTAATTACCTGGAGCGCTTAGATAGTGTTTTCTCTAATCTTGGCTTGTTTACTTAAAAGTGATTTTAATAAAAATTAAGAAGTATTTACTAAAATTCATGAGCAATGTTATGGTTGTAGTGATTTCTCAATATAGATTTTCAGTTCTTCTCTGTCTCCTTTTATTCATTTGTGTGGTAAAGTATATCACCCAGTTCAAATTTAGATCTGTGAGGTTACAATTTGTGATTGTGTATTTCTAAAATTCAATGCTCTGTGTTTGTGAAATATAAACTTACTCTATAATACTATTCAAAATGATAAGCCTTTTCATTAAATTTTATTTAATTGACTTGACATGTAATTAAAGCCGAATATGCTTAAAATGGTTTTAGAAAAGGGGACATGAATCTAGGTAGAAAATTAGCATTTCACCAACAAATCCATTGAGATTATAGAACTATAACCATGTGTTTTATAGCATGAAATTTATATATTATCTGGAGCTTTGCTGAGTGAGATTTTTTTTTTTTATAGCAAACATGGTTTATTGTTGATAGAGAACAATGCAAAGCTGGTTTTATTTCTTGATAGTTCAAAGTGATATTTTTAACAATCTAAGCAACTTGTTACTTCGTCATTTTGTTTCTATGATTATCAACTTTTTCAGAATACTTTTTGAGAGACCATTTCTTATTTGACCAAGTTATCCATCTGTCTTTGTTCCTCACTACCACCATCCATCACTCCTATTCCCCCTCTACACTGCCCAGCATAGTTCTTAGATTTAAAAATGTCTGCTTTCCACCATCCCTACTCTCTGGGTTCTGATCTTCCTAGAGGTAAACGCTGTTAGATTTCTTGTACATTCTTATAGAAATTTTCTGTGTCTAAATTCTCTTTATCTCATATAGTATTATGTTATATACATTCTTACAGCTTTTTTTTTTTTTTTTTTTTTAAAGATTTATTTATTTATTTATTTATACAAGCACTGGGTACAGTCAGAAGCACGGGAGGGTGAGAGAATTCACCAGAGCCAGAGCGGGGAGCAGAGCAGGCAGAAGGACCGAAGTACACTGCTGAGGGGAGCAGAGGGCGGCAGGAGAGGTCTGCACGCCATGCGGGACCCTCCTCCAGTGGCCGGGGAGCAGCCGGGGATTGAACCGGCACTGCAGAGGCTTCGGGCAGCTTCGCAAGCCAGCGCTCAACCACTGCGCCACCGGGGAGGCCCTTTTCTTACAGCTTTTAAACCCCTGATCCATATTTAACCATTTAAATCTGATTACAGAATAGTTTGGGACCCTCGCTGGCGCTAGGTAAAGAACAGGCACTACAGAGGCTGCAGGCAGCCTCGCAGCCCAGCGCTCAACCGCTCAACCGCTGTGCCACCAGGGGAGGCCCTACAGAGTAGTTTTTAAATTAACATATGAATCAGAATTTAAGCATTTCCATTGTATTATATTCTCTTTTAAAAGTTAATTTAAGGGCCCTCCCTGGTGGCTCAAGGGGTTAAGACACAACCTATGAAGCTATCTGCGCAGCCAATGCAGCAGGAGTTCAATCCCCAGTCAGGGAGCTGCCCACATGACACATCAGCCCTCTCCTCACTCACCCGCTGCTCCCCTCAGCAGTGTGTTTCAGTCAATCTACCTGTTCTGTTCTCCACTCTATCTCTGGTGGATCCTCTCACCCCCTCCTCTGGCCTGTGGCCTGTACCCCAGTTCTTGTGTGCATGAATGGATAAATTCTTAAAAAAAAAAAAATTAGGACCTCTCCATTTCACCAGCACAGCTGATGTGGATATATCATTTTAGAATACCTCTTGGAATTGCTTTCTCATCTTGAGCCCTGTTACTTTGCCCTCCCAGATTTGGTTTTATATCACTTTTCACTTCCACATAATGAAGCTCAGCCTAAGCTCTAAGAGCCTGCGCTCTTTCATAGACTATTATTTTGTTAATACTGCTGTTGTTGTATTATAAGTTTCTGAGGTGCTCTTTGCCTAAAGAAGAAAGTCATGTACTTCCTATACTTAAAATACTTTTTAAAAAAATTAATGACATGGGCCTCCCCAGTGGCACAGTGGTTGAGCGCTGGGTTGCAAAGCTGCCCGCAGCCTCTGCAGCGCCAGTTCTATCCCTGGCTGCTTCCCGGCCACCAGAGGAGGATCCCACATGGCGCGCAGACCTCTCCTGCTGCCCACTGCTCCCCTCAGCAGTGTACTTCGGTCCTTCTGCCTGCTCTGCTCACTGCTCTGGCTCTGGTGAATTCTCTCACCCTCCCGCGCTTCTGACTATACCCAGTGCTTGTACAAATAAATAAATAAATAAATAAATAAAAATCTCTAAAAAAAAAAAATGACAACATTCATTTAGAGTTTCCAGGTGGAAATGTTTGTATGACTGTAGAAATTTCTCTTTGATTTTAATTTTCTAAGGGGCTAAACATTTTGCCTCTTTTGCTTTATCAACCTTAATAAAATTGTTGGCTTGGCTGTCAGTATATTTATATTTATTGTGCTACAGATAGAGTGAAACTTTGTTGCCAAAGAAATCTAGTAGGCACCTGTCCCAGGTCCTTTACACTGATTGTTTCCTCTACCTGGATATCCCCACCTCCAGCAGATATCCTTGGGGTTTTTTTTTTTTTTTTTTTTTTTTATTTATTTGTTTGTTTATTTATTTATACAAGCACTGGGTACAGTCAGAAGTGCGGGAGGGTGAGAGAATTCACCAGAGCCAGAGCTGGGAGCAGAGCAGGCAGAAGGACCGAAGTACACTGCTGAGGGGAGCAGCGGGCGGCAGGAGAGGTCTGCGCGCCATGTGGGACCCTCCTCCGGTGACCGGGGAGCAGCCGGGGATCGAACCGGCACTGCAGAGGCTGCGGGCAGCTTCGCAACCCAGCGCTCAACCGCTGCGCCACGGGGAGGCCCCTATCCTTGGGGTTTACTCCCTTACTTAGTTAAGTGCTTCCTACCTTATCAGAGAGGCCTTGATTGACTATCTTATGTAAATTAGCAATCTTCCTTCTCTGCCATCACTACTCATCATTCACATTCCCCTTACTTTACTTAATTTTTCTCCATAATACTATCACCACCTAATATATCATAATTAAATTTATTACTTGTTTTCTCTAACTAGACTATGAATCCTGTGGTCAGGAACTTTGCCTGATTTGTTCCTTCTGTATTCCCTCTACTTAGAGAAGAGACTAGCTCTGTCATAAGCATGTAATACATACTTGTTTGAATGAATCTTTTACTGCTCATCAAAGTAAATAATGTCATGTAGTCAGATGAGTAGGTCATTTGACTTGTATTTGAATCCTGACTGCTCCTACCAACCATGTGAGATGATAAAAATTATGTTCCTTATTTGGGGAATGAAGATTGAAGTGATCTCTGTGGGCCTGTTTGGCTCTTGTACTTTATAATTGTTTCCACTCTTTTGTTTCCCTTTCTTACTTAAAAATTTTCCTATATTAATAGTGTTTCCTAGTTCTGACTACAGTTCTATGGTGGAAATTATCAGTTATTTTACCGACAATGTTCTAGCTTTATTGGTTTTGGGCAAAACCTAACATTTTCACAGTTCTCAGTTTTTCTTTTTTAAATTCATATAGTGATAGCACACAAGCCTTCTCAATCCCTTACTGTCCACCAAGGGTGAGGCTTGCTTAGAGGGAGAATGAGGATATACAAATGTGTCAACTCTGTGTTGCCTTTACTAGCCTAAAGGTAGACTTGCACTTTGGCCCGTTCCACTCTCTTTTTGTCTGCTACCTCATCTGGTGTAAGCAATGCCTTCTCACTCTTCACCACTCCCAGCACAGATGGCATATGTTAGGCTTCTTCTTCAGACATCTTTTTTCCCCTAAGAAGAGACTCAAGAATTTAAACCATATTTTCAGGAAATTATATTAACCTGTGTTCAGTGTCTTGATCCATCTCGAAAGGCCACGCATCACACTGGGAAGTAATAAATCAGCTATTTTACTGTCAACATTTTCTTCCAGCCCATTTGCTTATGTGGACCCCTTGCACTATAACTTGGCCTATTTGTACCTTGAGCTCCTCAAAGACTCACTCAACGAGTATGCATATGCAGCAGAGCTAGCAGGCTTGAGCTATGACCTCCAAAATACCATCTATGGGATGTATGTAAGTACCCACATCTTAGAGCCTTCCATTCATCAACATTTTTTGTATTGATTTGATGGAAGCATTTTTGATTGAGGGTATAAGTTTAATTTCTTTTTTTTAATCTTTGTAGCTAATCATTTTCTCATCATTTAATTTTTCAGTTAATTCTTACTAAGTATTCAGCAATATACCATTCATATAATGCAAATTTTCCTTGATTTCTTTTTTTTTTTAAACATCTTTCATTAGATTGTCATTTTTCTCCTCAAATGAAATTGGACCGTGAATTAGGTTTAGGTCTCATTCATTCTATGTCTGAAGTCTTGGTCTTTGACAACAGAGAATGAAGTCTTGCTGCCATTGTAAAACATAAGGTTGGCCTATACTATTTACCTGGAAATTCAGATCATGAGGCTGCATATCCATACTCTTCGGTCATGTTTCTTCATTACCATGCCATTGCTTGAGGTATCAAAGCATTTCTTTTGTTTTTCTTTTTGTTAGTCGCTACATTTATGCTGATCCTCTCCATTGCAACATGACTTACCTGTTTATCAGGTTATTGAAGGATGATTTAAAAGAGTATACATATGCAGCACGCCTCTCAGGTTTGAGCTATGGCATTGCATCAGGAATGAATGCAATACTTGTAAGTAAAATGAAAACCAAAGAAAAGGCACCACATCATTTAAAAAGCATTATGTTGAGCTTGAGAAAACTATTAACTTCTGCATTCTTAAACAAGAAGACTGATGGTTTTTCCCTTGCACTTTTTTAAAGACTGAAGAACTCAAATTAGTATTAGTTCCACTAATGAATGATTTAATAGAGCTTAGTACATCTTGTGAATATGCTACATATATTTATTTGCATGTTCCTCCGCTTAAAATATTTAACATATTAATCCTGATAGCATGTTGTTCATTTGAGTACATTGTCTGTGAGTGAAAGATATTCATAGCTAATGTTGTGATGCTTAAATCTTACTTAAATGTAAGCTTCTTTTATTTCTGCTGACAGTAGTAGAAAGCTCCTGTGTTCAAATACATCTGGCATTTTTATTTAATTTATTTTGTAACATGCATCATTAATTACTTTTAAGTGTGTTTTAAAATAAGCATTATTAAATGCATTTCAAGAAATGATTAGATACTTTTTTCTTAAAACAGTTTCTGTTTCTAAACTTTATCTCATTTCCAAATTAACAACCCTTTTATGGAATACATTCATCACTTTTCTTAAGGATATTTTGTTTGTTTTACTATAAATGAAAATGAGAGCATGCGCTGCATTCTCCTTTTTAAAAATTCTTATACAAATGGTTTTAGGGTTTTTCAATTTTATTTTGCAGTCATGTTTTTACTTCACACAAATTTTCTGGTAGCTTTTGTTTAAGGTAGAAGAGTTTATAAAACCTAACCATTCTCAGAGTCCAGGGAACTTTGAAGCTCAGACATCAAAATAAACTCTAAGTTGAAAAATTATAATCTATTCTTTATTTTTTGCTATTGTTATAGCATGTTGCCATTAAAATAATTTTTTATTTGTGACAAAATGGGCTTTCTGCTAATTGTCAGTCAGATTTCCATTATATGTTATGTTCCTCCCATGGCCAATGACTTTCACTTCTGCTGAGGTTCTTGGGATCACTTTTCACAGATGGAGCCTTTCATAAGCATTCTAGTTGCAGTGTATCTTGTGCACCTGGGGGTGCCGCCATGTGGAAATGAATAATAGGCGTCCCCAATTTTTAAACTATTATGCTTTCAGATATCATTAAAGTGAATTGTCCTAAAGCAGAATCCTGATGTAACTTACAATGGATCCTCACTACACATTTATCTTGCCATCATTGACTTTTAGGACATCAGCAGATTTATCAAATAACAATTTGTGAGATGTGTAGATGCTTATTGAGAAGCATTGAATGAGAAGAGTGGCAAATAATACAAAACTGGGCTGACTGATTTTTACAGATGATTTTTTAAATATGACAATTAAATTGGGACCATAACCAGCAGTTTGCTAGATAATGCCCCCCCTCCCCCCCGCTCTGTGATTTTCATCTTCGGATCATGCCTATAAAAAGTTTTAGCCTGCTGGGACCTTTCTGGTGGTGTCTAAGCACTATGAAGCTATCAGCAGCCACTGCAGCACGAGTTCATTCCCAGCCAGGTAGCTAATCCACATGGCTCAGCAGACCTTTCCTTTCTTGCCCGCTGCTCCCCTCAGCAGTGTACTGCAGTCGATCCACCTGTTCATCTCCCCACACTGTCTCTGGTTAATTCTCTCACCACCACCCACAACCTCTGGACTACACCCCAACTCTTATATGTATAAATAAAAATCTTAAAAATAGTTTTAGCCTGCTAGTCCTCAGAAACACTTTTTGAAGATTAAACTTAAAATGAATTCAAGAATTCATTTTCGTATAATGAAAACTTGAATTTTGATGCTGTATTGTGTGCTACCATAGTTTGGCACCAGGTGAGTTTTCCTGCTATTGATTTTGTATAGGACAAGCAAAATTATCCTTTGGGGTATTAGTAAAGATGATTAATGTTATCCTATTGAGTATTAAAAGTTATATAATAGAACATTAAATTGAATTTCTTTCATTTTTATTTTAATATACCTGGTTTGGGGATTTTCTTAATGTTTAAAAATCAAATTTGAGGTGTTTATTTAGAATTGTTTCATGATATTCTTAGACTTTAAATACCCTGAACTTTTTCTGTAGCTCTCAGTGAGAGGTTACAATGACAAGCAACCAATTTTGCTAAAGAAGATTATTGAGAAAATGGCTACCTTTGAAATTGATGAAAAAAGATTTGAAATTATCAAAGAGGCGGTAAGTTATCTCAGTTCAAATATATAATGTTTTTGTTTATAAGGTAATATTGCCATCTTATGAACATTTTTGAAAAAGGGGAGAGGAAGAAGCTTTTATAACCCTGTAACAGTCATCTCATCCTGTTTCTGCTAAATCTCTTACCCAGAAGGAAAGCCTAGGAGACTATAAGCTTTCTCTACAGAGGCCCTTTCTCTGTAGAACCCAAGAGCTAGGGCATTTATATTGACTTTCAGGGAGGAGGCTACAGTAGACCTAATGGCTCTCAAGGATTCCTTCATGTTTTCATCCAGCTTCCATTTCAGAACGCATGACTCTGCATGCCGATGTCTACCTACCACAAGAACTTTGTCACATTAGGGCAAACTATTTTAATCTTGAACTATGTTCCACTTAAATTCAACTCATGGTTGACCCAAAAATAGAAGTTTATTTAAAAACCAAGCTATGGGGCCTCCCCAGTGGTGCAGCAGTTGAGCGCTAGGTTGGAAAGCTGCCCACAGCCTCTGCAGCACCGGTTCGATCCCCGGCCACTGAGCGAGGGTCCCACATGGCACACAGACCTCTCCTGCCGCCCGCTGCTCCCCTCAGCAGTGTACTTCATCGGTCTGCCTGTTCTATTCCCCACTCTGGCTCTGGTGAATTCTCTCACCCTCCCACGCTTCTGACTGTACCCAGTGCTTGTATAAATAAATCTTAAAAAAAAAAAACAAGCTATGACCTTTATTGTGCACCAAAAATACATCAGTTTTTAAATGAAGATTCGATATTATATATGCACACACATACTCATGTTGTTTGTTTAGTAGCGACTTTTGGGATGGCCTTATCTTATAGACTTAAAGGATGCCAAGAGATAGAGGATCTGAAAACTAGGGATAACTTTCTGAGGCATCAAAGGCATTTGCAGTACATGTCAAATGCTGGCAGTAAAGCAGCAGCTTGGACATGGAAAAAACTTGCCTTTTATTAAGGATCAGAGAAGAATAAACCCCATTCTTAATTATATAATAACTTCAAAAAGGAGAAGCAAATATTTATGCATCCTAGTAACACATGATAAATACAACCTGAAGTTTTTATTATAGTTGATCTTTCAAACTGATTTTTAAAGGATACAAAAAGTTGATGAACCCCTGTCTCCCTTCACTAGTATATGCGGTCTCTTAACAATTTCCGAGCTGAACAGCCTCACCAGCATGCCATGTACTACCTCCGCTTGCTGATGACTGAAGTGGCCTGGACTAAAGATGAACTAAAAGAAGCGCTGGATGGTGAGACTCTTTTTCTACTTACAACCTAAAGCATTCTTCACTTCTTTCTAAAGTCATTTTTGGTTTACCCTGTTACATAGTGCTTATGCTTTCTAATTTGTAATTCTGTTAAAGTCAACTGCACATACTTCTTATAAAAACAAGAGTGACCTTGAAGTGGTTTTTGTATTCAGGCAGGTTAGCGACATTGTTTTTTATCAGGATCCATACCAGCTAGTTACTACTCTTCATAGATTTCTGCAAATGACTAAGTGTTTGGTCCAAGTACTTACCTGGTTAATATTGTCTTCAGATGAGATGAGAGAGAGGAATAAAAAACTGAGCTTGAAAGTCTTACCATCCAGAAAGAGTGCTCATGCTTGAGGTTAAAAAAAAAAAAATTAGATGGGGTTTCTTAGGTCATAAAGCTCCAGTCTAATGACCAAACAAGAGTGTAAATAGATCATTTCACTAGTGGCAAAGAGAGTGTTGTGATAGAGGCCTGCAGAGAATGTTGGGGATGGGGCACTTGACAACTAAATGTAAGGTGGGACTGTGGATATGATCCTGGGACAGAAAAGGAATATTAGTAGAAATTGTGATATCCAAATAAAGTGTATTTTAGTTTATAATATTGTACAGTGTTAGTTTCTTAATTTTGATCATGAGAGATGTTAGTGTCAGGAAAAACTGGATGAATTGTACACAGGAACTCTGTACTGTTTTTGCAGTTTCTCTGTCTCAGATTATCTCTAGAGTTTTTTTATAGAACCTTATAGATAGAGCTTACTATTTCTCACACCTTTGCAGATGTCACCCTTCCTCGCCTTAAGGCCTTCATACCTCAGCTGCTGTCACGGCTGCACATTGAAGCTCTTCTCCATGGAAACATAACAAAGCAGGTGGGTGGTTGAAGTGTCAGCAGTCATTTATGGATCAGTGCAAGAGGCATTTTTTCTTTCCTTAGTCTGTCTAAGACTGTTAACCACCACTGCGTGATAAGCATATTAATGTTCATTCCACCTTCTCTGCTCTGTGGAGGAAAGTAGGTTCTGATGGGTTAGAAATGAACTGTGGAATTGCTTTCATGGCTACCTCCTCTGCTGTTGCCCACCTTGTACAGTCATGAAAGGAAATGGAAACAATTATCTCTACCCTGTTTAGGACAGAAGGACTGTGTAGTTGATAAGATACATAGTATGGAATCAGATAATGTGATTTCAATCCCTGACTGCCACATAGTGGTTATGTAATTTTCAGAAGGTGTCCTAACCTCTCGTGCTCAATTTCCTTCTCAGTAAAACTAGAGTCATAAGGATTAAATCAAATAATACATGCCAAGGGTTTAGCACATGGAAATCACTCTGGAATTCCCATGGCAATCTGTCTCAAGAGCCAACACTATCTACAACTCTGCTATTCTGCCTCCACAACAATATGCCCAGGATCAAGTGCTTATAATTATCAGATATAGGATTCTTATCGAGCATTTTATTCAGAACAAAGCCTTATGCTCATCTCCTTTGCTTTGCTATAACCTCAGGTGTCTTTAATCAGGGTTTTTCTCTTGAAACCAACTTCCCATCACCAGTACCGCTCCAGCTTTGTCATTTCTTTTTTCCCCAGCATCAGGATAAGTGTTGATATTTTTCTGGGTCTCTTTTTATCTTCACTTCTACCACAGTGACTGTATTACAAACTGATTTTTATCCATTTGACTAGGATCAAGTGTATTTAACCAAGATTTTAAAATCCAACATGTATGTTGTTTTCATGTTATATGGGCTAGCATCCAATGTACTATTTTAATCTCACAGACAAGATACATTTATGTTTGTATAATGTGCCCTGACTTATCTTTTTCCATAGGCTGCATTAGGAATCATGCAGATGGTTGAAGACACTCTTATTGAACATGCTCATACAAAACCTCTCCTTCCAAGTCAGCTGGTTCGGTATAGAGAAGTTCAGCTCCCTGACAGTAAGTTGAAATGTTAAAGCTTTGGTAATAGTTTACTTTGACATAGTACTGTGGGTGATTATAGGTGGTGAATTCACTTGGATGACAATGTGTAATTTTATGGTAAAGATCTACTGGGTTCTACTATTTATAGAAGTATGCTTAAAGATAGTTAATTCTGTCAGAAAATTCTCTGTAGGAGGGCCAAAGAAGTAAAGTTGGAGGTAGGCAATTATTTTGAAGACAATGATACTGGAATTGACTGGAATTGAGTATAAAGGAGTTAGGAAGGGGAAATGTCACAAAGCTAAAGAAACGTTGACTGTGAGCGCGAAATAATATTTATTTTTAAAAAATAGGAAGTAGAATAAAAATATCTAATTGAAGTCCATAGAAGTCTTTACCACATATAGTTTTAGGAAAGCCACAGATGCAGCCAACAACATATATTCATTTCATGCATAAATTTTATAAGGAGCTAACATAAGAATTGGTATTGGAGTTTTGCATTAACTTTACTTTCTTTCAATGTAAAAAGTCATTAAGCATTATTTTTAATGTTGTTCAAATTTGTATAGCAAGAAGTATATTAAACCGGGAATAAGAAAGTTGATTTTTTTTGTTGTTGTTCAGCCAAAGTATATTTTGGGTGCTGGCACTGGTCACCTCCCCTATCTATTTTATCCTCCTGAAATAGTTCTCCTATCCCCTTCCTTATGGACCTGTATCTATACCTTATTCATCCTGTCAGGCCCATCTTACAAGCCACCTACTAAAAGCTCCTAGCTGGAAGTAATCACTTTTTCTTTTGACCTCCCAGCATAGTTTTTTGGTAGCTTTCCTTATTTAAACCTCTTCGCACTTCTCTTGCTTTGGGATTGAAATATATCTCCATTTCTCTTGTTAGAATGTACATTTCTTGAGGCCTCTCTGGTGGCGCAAGGGTTAAAATCTCAGAGTTATCAGGCTCTCACCAGCCACTGCAGCATGATTTCAATCCCCAGCCAGGGAACTAACCCACATGGCGCAGCAGACCTCTCTGGTCTCGCTCTGATCCCCTCAGCAGTGTGTTTCACTAGATCTGCCTGTTCTGCTCCCCACTCTCTCTGGTGAATCCTCTCACCCCCTGTACCTCTGGCCTACATCCCAGTTCTTGTATACATAAGTAAATAAAATAAATCTTTAGAATGTACGTTACTTTTGTTTTTAAGTGTTTATAAACAATATTTAGAATAGAGGGATAAATGGAAAAACAAGGTAATAAAGATACAACTAATACTTTTTAAATCTTGTATGAAAAAAGTTTAATTGTATAATTATTAAAACAATGGGTATTTCTGTTGAGAATTTTATTTGTATTAGCTAGTTATAATCTATTACATACACTACACTGTACTTGTTTTAACTGTGGATCACATTTTCCATTCATACTTAATCATAAAATACATTTTATAAGGTTTTTGCCCTTTAAATTCAAGGTATGTTTACTGAAAGCCTAATACAAATCCCTAGGTAAGTTAATTGAGTTTCACATTCTTCATAAATTAATTGGAATTTGGAATTGCAAAAAAATACCAAGTAAATTGAACAACTTTAACAAACCAGACAAGCATTGATTTTATTAAACCCAAATTACATTTTTGAACCTGTTGCTCTCTTTTTGAAACTTCCTAGGAGGATGGTTTGTTTATCAGCAGAGGAATGAAGTTCATAATAACTGTGGCATCGAGATATATTACCAAACAGACATGCAGAGCACCTCAGAGAATATGTTTCTGGAACTCTTCTGTCAAATCATCTCTGAGCCTTGCTTCAATACCCTGCGTACCAAGGAGCAGCTGGGTAAGAGGAATGTGGAATAGAAGGCTACCATAGACCTGGAGAATCAACCACTGTCCCCAGAAAACATTCTCCACATGTATAAGTCACCTAGCATGCTGCTTCAGGAATACTTTATTCAGAAGATCATGAAAACCTTGTTTTTGAATATCTTTTAGAACTCGCATCTAAAAGATAAACATTTAATATATCACGGACATTAAAGTAGTTCTTAAGGAGATAACACTGTAATTACATATACATCAATAGGAGGAGATTCCGGATAGTGGGGAGAGGCTGCTCTGCTAAGTACAAGCTGCTTATGCATAAAAAGGTGGGACTTGCATCATCCAGAGATGCTCAGAGTCACTAAACTTTGGGAACCCTGAGGGTAGCTATTATCTCTTCTTCATCTTTGTAGCCCCAAGTCTAAGGCACCTGGAAGGTACTCAGTGAGTATGTGTGAAGAAATATTTCAGGTACTGTTAAATTAAAAGTCTTGGAGATTTGGCAGGTTTGATCAGTGAGAAAAGAAAGTAGTCCCAATAATGACTAGGAGAAACCATGAAAAAATTTTGTGTGAATCTCCAAGTACCAATCATCTTTTGAAAAAACTACTGTGCTAGATGATAAATATTTAAAATGGATGTTATGAGTGGTCCGTCCTTTCAAGGAACTCATAGTTTAATCAGGAAAGTAGAACTGTAAGGGATAGTTCAGTGTGTTTCAGCTCAAGTACTACTAACAGTGTTTAAACTCTGAAGTCTATGCTGATAATAGTTCTTTCTCAGGAGTGGAACCCCAAGCTATCAGAGGTGTGGTTCAGGACAGAAAAGCTGAAGAAAGCAAGCCATGAGATCTGCTTATTAAAAAATGTTTAAGGGAGTTAGTACATGAGCGCACAAGGTGACAGTAAATGTGTGACCTTCAATTACTTAGTTTTTAGGTATTTTCAGTCTTAGTAGAGTTGGTTCAGGATTGAATTATCTAATAAGAAAGGCAATAGCGGAGCCAAATTCACATATGGAACTTGAATAGGAAAGGAAATAAATTTATGGCAATGGTCAGAACATGAAAGTGAGTCCAACATTTTTATAGAGATGAAATAGCTTTAACATAGATTGAAGGACTGAGGATTAGTTAAGGGATCTGAGTTCGAACGATGAATATGTTTTGGTTCTGTTTAAGAAGAAGAAAGTGTTATCCAAATTTCTAACTATACTTGACCTTTGAACAACCCTGGGATCAGAGGTGCTGACCTTCACCCCAAAAATACACTGATAACTTCTGACTCTCCAAAAACTTTACTGATAGCCTGCTGTTGACTGGAAGCCACACTGATAACATAAACAGTTAGCACCTGTTTTCTATGTTCTATGTATTATATATTGTGTTCTTACAATAAAGTAAGATAGAAAAAAGGAAATGTGGTAAGAAAATTATAGAATGAGAAAATGCATGTACTGTACTGTACTTGTGGATGCTGTAAATTTATGTCATCTGTTCACAAGAAAATCCATGTGTACAATATGCAGCTTAAAACCCTGTTGTTCGGGGTTTATTCTTCTATATTCTTCAGAGAATTCTTTTGTTCTCTCCCTAGGAACTGAGAGTAATTAATTACTCATATTTCTTCAGAAGACAAGCAATATGAAACTCCAAAGTAGATCTTATTTGCTCTGAAAAAATAATTTTTGAAAGGTTAAAAGTCTCGAGTCTCAAAATGCCAGGTCCTGACTGACTGATGTTTGTGTTTCAGGCTATATCGTCTTCAGTGGGCCACGTCGAGCCAATGGCATACAGGGCTTACGATTCATCATCCAGTCAGAAAAGCCACCACACTACCTAGAAAGCAGAGTGGAAGCTTTCCTAATTACCATGGAAAAGTCCATAGAGGATATGACAGAAGAGGCCTTCCAGAAACACATTCAAGCATTAGCAATTCGTCGACTAGACAAACCAAAGAAGCTATCTGCAGAGTGTACTAAATATTGGGAGGAAATCATCTCCCAGCAGTACAATTTTGACAGAGGTAAGGCAGAACTAGGACCCAACATTTATTGACATGTAAGTGTAACATTTAAGATCATTCTGCAAAAGGATATTCGTTTTGTAGGTGTTGTTTTAGTACTGTGTTGAGAGTGGGGATGTAGTACTTTTAAAGATCTGTATTTACCTAAAATTTTCAGTCAGAAACTTTGTTTTATTTCTTCTCTAAAACTAGAGCTGGATATACTTGTATCTCATAATACAATCTAACTTTACTTTTGTATTCAATCATTGTGTTCTGTGCACTTAAATGTTGGTGTCTATTTCCCATAACACTAAAAAAAAATAAAAAAAAAAAATTGCTGATTAGAACTCTCGAGTCAGTTGCTGCCCTGAGGCAGAGGGGTTCAGATTTACCTTTAGGGGTAGTCAAAAATTGGTTCATGCTTTTTAGATTTGGGAGCACTGTGCTCATAGAAGTTTCCAGCTTACCAACTTCTATTGCCATTTTTCTAATACAGAAAATAAAGGTGGAGTGTGATAAACTACACTGCAAGTCAGAGGAGTTGAATTGTCTTCTCATTCTGACACCAGCAGGCTGAAAATCTTGGCCAAGATTTTCACCTTCTCTAAGTCTCTGTTTCCTTACCTGTAACTTATCTAGCAGTTATAGTCACTATTAATGATAATAGTAACCTGCCATTTATTGACCATTTGTCATGTGCCTGGCATCACGTAATTATCTTTTATCATTTTCCTTAGTTTTCATTCCAGCCCTTGTTAAGTCATTATTATCCCCAATTTCCAGGAATGAAAACTGAGGCTCAGAAAAGTTGAAATGAGCCCAAGACCCAATAGTTTATAGGTAGAAAGTCAGGATATCCTCTTACTTTTTACTTGAAATTTATTCCCTTATGACTTGCAGAAGCAAATGATCACATAAAAGTACGGTCTTCAGAATGTTGTAGTGAAATATATTGTCATTAGTGCATTTGTCCTGGACTACTCAAAATGGAAATATTAGCAATATATTATTGATTACTTTTTCAGATAATATAGAAGTTGCATATTTAAAGACACTCACCAAGGAAGATATCATCAGATTCTACAAGGTAAGTTGAATTTGTACATTTAGATTTTGACTGATGAGGAATTATTGCATATACTGTGTTACATGTTACCACTTAGAACCCATTCGGGCAGGATTTGTGTAAGAAGCATTTTAATGCATTTAAGTATTTTGACACATATTACAGGGAAAATTCATATTGCTTCTAGTACTCTTTTCCTCTCCCTGTGGAACAAAGAGTTGGCAGCCCTTCCAAGTCCACTTCTTTAGGCCATCCTTTATTGGCCATCCTTTGTTTCTCTCTGTTCTGCACCCCAGCCCACAGAGAACATTGTTCAGTTTGTTTGGTGAGAAGGAAGAGCGAAGAAAACAAATGGAACTTGAGAATTCAGTTATGTTCTAGGCTCTGACAACTATAAATTGTCTTCACCCATTTAGATGCCACTGGTGCTGCTTTTTTAAAATAAGTGATTACTCATCTTTGAACTGTGTTCAGAGATCTTATGAGTTTTGAATGCCTGTGCCTGAGAAAGTCTATCAAGATGAAAGGGAGGCATCATCATTAAAGTCTTCCCAGAACGTCTTTAAGAGGTTGGCACCATGGGAAGTCTGTACCTTCCACTCAGTTTTGCTGTGAACCTAAAACTGCTTTAAATAATAGAATTTATTTTTAAAATATACATATGAAGATGAACAAAAACATACAAATTAAAATATTTTCACATATATTATTTTAATTAAAAATAATATAATTGATTTCTAAATGTTAATTATAATTAAAACTATAAAAATAATTTTATTCTGAAATACATTCTTAGATGGTCTTTGTGTATATGAAAAGAGAGCTACAATAGGACTGTGAGGGGCAGAGTTAGGTATAGGAGCAGTGCTCCAGGATGCAAGTCCGCTGCCAGGCTGTTCAGTTGTCTCAAGTGTCCTGGCTAGAGCTGTCAGCCTCACTCAGTGATCCCAGTTTCTCTGAAGGTTCTTTTACTTGTAGGCAGCAAAGAAGCATGTGTGGCCAATGAAAACAGACTCAAGGCAAAGCAAGACTAGCTAGCTTTGTAGCCAAGTAACATAAGCTTTTAAGCCTCAGTTTCCTTACTCCCAAAATAGAAATTAATTGGAGTATTAATTGAAGCGTGAGGTATATCAAGGAATTGGCACTTAGTATCATTTAATAAATACTATTATCTCTTTATTGGTAATACATTTTTTGCCTTGAAGTCATAAAATAAGTTTTAGTTGTATTTACCATTTAAAATTGTTTCATTTTGTAAGTTTAGGTATCCTCGGTAGTTCTTTCTTTTGCCTACAAGAGGGCAATTACATTAAGTTCTTTTTGGTTTCTAAGATATTCATTTTAAGGCATTACTGGTTATGGGCGTTCAAAAAGAATGCTGTCCTAATATAACTTACTATAATGTTTCCAGAAGAAATGAAGATTTTCCTTTCCTTGCATAAATTCATTTGAGATTACAAGTAGTGAAAATAGTAGTTATGCAACTGGATCTTATCTTTAAAAATGAGAGTATTTATTACAGGTTTAACCTAAATCTAGAATAGCATTTCCCTAGTTGTGTTCCTTGGTACAGTAATGTTCCCTATGATATTAATAGGAGCACCTAAAAAAAGTGTTTCGTAAGTTTGGGAATTATGTAAGTTTGGGAATGACTGTACTCTTTATCACAGTGTGTTAGCACTTTAAAAGTTCTAAGAAACCCCGCAATAAAGATTTCTTCAATCCAGCTTTTGATTAACAAAACATTTCCTAGACTAATTTCACCATGGACCTTTTTATTTTTATTATTTATTTATTTTTTTATATTTTTTTTTATTTTTTAAGATTTATTTATTTATTTATACAAGCACTGGGTATAGTAGTCAGAAGCGCGGGAGGGTGAGAGAATTCACCAGAGTCAGAGCAGGATGCAGAACAGGCAGAAGGACAGAAGTACACTGCTGAGGGGAGCAGCGGGCGGCAGGAGAGGTCTAGCGCGCCATGTGGGACCCTCCTCTGGTGGCCGGGGAGCAGCCGGGGATCAAACCGGCACTGCAGAGGCTGCGGGCAGCCTCGCAACCCAGCGCTCAACCGCTGCGCCACCAGGGAGGCCCTTTATTATTTATTTTTTAAAGATGTATTTATTATGCATACAAGAACTGGGGTACAGGCCAGAGATGCAGGGGGGTGAGAGGACTCATCAGAGACAGACTGGGGAACAGAACAGGCAGATTGACTGAAATACACTGCTGAAGGGAGCAGCGGGCGAGACAGCAGAAGTCTGCACCATGTGGGTTGCTCCCTGGCCAGCTGGGAATAACTCGTGCTGCAGAGGGTGCGGATTGCTTCATAGTGCAGTGCTTAACCCCTTGCACCACTAGGGAGCCCCACCTTTTTTTTTTAATGTACAGAATACCTGGTACTCTAGTGAATGCAGTTTGTAAGAAAATGTGATTTGTTGGTTACTTGTTTTTTAGGAAACTGGAGATTGTGCAGAGTTGGTCAGGGTATTGAGAACAGTCTGAAACTGATGAGCTTGTTCTGTCTACTGGTACTGATTCATGAAAGTTTGGGTGAAAAAGGATCAAGAATAGATCGTTGGCAGCAACGACTTTAAAAAGTAAGAAGTTCTTAGATGAGGTTATTAGAGGCAAGCCTGGGCTGAGCTCCTGAAAGAGGCTGGGGTGGCCAGAGCAAGTCCGTGGGAGAATCTGGGCTGTTCTTCCAGCTGAGGGAGCCATGGTCAAGTTTGCTATGCCACATCAGCAGGTCTTCCGTTATAGTGCACAGCACCAAGACATAATCACTCCCATAAATAACTGTTGAGTTGATTTGGCTTTGCTGATGATCTCTCCCTCTGAGGATATAAAATATAACTTCAGGCTGAGTCATCGGGGGTAGCTGCATCAGAACTGTATTTTCCTTTAGGGAAAGATCAAAATGAAGGCCCAGCATTAAAAGAAAAGGTGGGCCTCCCTAGTGGCGCAAGCTTGTTAAGCACTGCACTATGAAGCAATCCACAGCCTCTGCAGCACGAGTTCGATCCCCGGCCGACCAGGGAGCAACCCACATGGCGCGGCAGACTTCTCCTGTCTCGCCCGCTGCTCCCCTCAGCAGTGTATTTCAGTCAGTCTGCCTGTTCTGTTCCCCACTCTGTCTCTGGTGAATCCTCTCACCCCCCACATCTCAGACCTATACCCCAGCTCTTGTGTGCATAAATAAATAAATATTTTTTTTTAAAAAGAAAAGAAAAGGTGAGGTGATACTTTCTCATAGGATCCATCTGCCAGCCTACTGCTTACCAGTATTCATGGTAATGACTATGGGGAATCCCATAAGGCAGTGTGGTGGAATGGAGAGAACAAGCAGACCCACTTCTGACACCATCCCTACCAGTTCTGTCACTCCAGAAAGTCATCATATCTCTCTGTGTCTCTAAAATGGGTATCATTATTATGTCTAGCTTATAGAGAACTGAGTGAGCTAACACAGTAGAGTGCTGATACAAGGCAGTACTCTAAAATGTTCGCTTCATTTCTCTCTTGGTAGTTGAGGAACCACAGCAGTGCTCTAGTGCAGAATCTGGAAAATTTCTTGCAGAAGCAGACTTTGTAGTTGTCCCTTGACTTAGCTCAGGCCATTGTCTCTCAGACATTAAAGATCACTAGGTACAGCCTTGTGTTGTACCCCAGTGAGTACCAGGCTAGGTTTTAATGCCAGCTCCGGTGCTTATTAGCTAAAGGAGTTTGAGCCCACCACTTAATCTCATTGGACTTGGTTTTTTTCATCTGTAAAATGGTGTTTAGAACAACTCTCACCTACCTTACCAAATCTTTGTAGAATTTAAATGAAATATTGTAATAGGGGAAAGCAGCACAAACATCTTTTCTTTTTCAGGCTATGTGATGGCTGCTCTTTCATACCTGTAAGAGAACATCTCACTTTAAGTTCCTTAGCCAGGTAAAAGGATGACCTTCTTGTTCTTTCTGCCTAGGAAATGTTGGCAGTAGATGCCCCAAGGAGACATAAGGTGTCTGTCCATGTTCTTGCCAGAGAGATGGATTCTTGTAAGTATTAATTACTGATTTTTTTAAGTATATTTTTAGACACAAGATAGCTGTCCCTTGCCATAGCTGTATCTTTATAGAGCACCAGAAAGTAATAACATCAGAAGAGGAACTAGAAAGATAGTCTGCTCTATCAAAGCACAAAAGAAAGGGAAGAGAGAGGGCAGTACTCCTACTGCCTACCTGTGACTATGCAGTGCCTCTTCTTCCCAACTCTCCTCTGCAGGGCAGCAGCCTCCCTGCCTGCCCATGATCTGTTCCATGCTGGGGCTTCTCTTCACTGACCTCTCTCAGTGGAGGCAGCTCTCCTCAAGCCGCCCGCCTGCATGCAGGCCTCTCTCAGCAAACCTGTCCCCTTTCCTTTCCCTAATAAACCTGTTCTTTAAATATATATATATAAAAGAAAGAAAAGGAAGAGAGAAATGTGACCGTTAAGGAGAAAGCTAGTAACTGGCTAGCACAGTGCTAAGCTAGCCAAAACTTTACAAGAAAACACAGCTGGCTGTTGGTAGGACATCTCCAACTTCAGCTACGTGGACCCCCTGCTTGTGGGGAGAAAAAGCAGGCAATTTATGTGCTCAGTCCTTTCCATCTCTTGTCTCCGGCTAAGGTTTGCCCCACAGCCATTAACCTCCCTATTCTCCTGCGTGGCCAAAGCCTTGGGGCCTAGTGAAGTCAGACCTGAGCACTAATGCTGCTGCAGCCAAGGCTTTGTAACCACAGTAACATCCTGAACTATCACCGATGGTTCTCTGGAGAGGAGGCAGGACACGCAGTCAAGGTCTTAGGAATAGACAGTCTGAAAGGATCTGAGAAGTACATGAACTGGGTCTTGTTTTGTAGGTTCTTTTTTGCAAGTTGCTCTTGTATACTAGTATTAATAAGTGCAAAACATTAAACATTTCAATTTCTTGCAGGTCCTGTGGTTGGAGAGTTCCCATGTCAAAATGATGTAAATTTGTCACAAGCACCAGCCTTGCCACAAGTAAGAAATATAAATGTTATGTTAGATTGCACATTTAGAGGACTTTGTACTTAGATGGAGCTTATTCAATCAGGACACTTTAATACCTAAAGGTTTCAGGTCAGCTCAGGTGTTCAAGCTTCTCCCTTAGAGCCCCCCTAAAAACCAGGTCACCATTCTCTAAGACAGCTCCCAGTGGTCATCTTTCCCTTTTCATCTGCAGAGATTCAGCCTCTGCCCTTATCTGCCTTTGCCCCTAATCTGAACAGTTGTATTACCCTGTGATGAATTATCTCTAGCCACATCTGTCTCAAGCCCTCTCCACAATGCCTTAATACACCTCTCCTAAATATACTTACAGATGTATTGTAATCACCTGAAAAGGTTGGCATCTACTTGCAAGAGGACGAAATTGTCCTTTGCTGGATGGCACACCAGCCTCTGCCTCTCTGCTGAAGCATTGGTACTAAACCCTTGTGTACTGGCCCTTGTATGTCCAGAGAAGAACGAAGAGTTTCCTTCTGGCCCAGAGTCATCATTGGGGTCACTCACCATAGGTTTACATATATGCTCCATCCCTACTGATCCCGCCAGACAGCTCAGCAGAGTATAATATATCGGGTAGAAACTAGTGTTTGTGAAAGCAAGATGTTGATTCCTGTTCGGTGTGCTTTTTCAGCTAAACATACTAAGAGAAAACCTTTTGTTTTTGTTTTTTTTGCAGCCTGAGGTGATTCAGAACATGACTGAGTTCAAGCGTGGTCTGCCACTGTTTCCCCTAGTGAAACCACATATTAACTTCATGGCTGCAAAACTCTGAGGATTTCCTATGGGTGGGAAAGTGCAAGTGGATGCATTCCTGAGTCTTCCCAGAGCTAGGGAAACAATCTTAGCCACCTTAATATTTTCAGGCTCATTGTTACAAAGACAAACAGAAAAAAAAGAAATTGTCAAATGTCATTATGTAGAAATATTAAATCCAAAGTAATTAAATTACAAAATCTTATAAATGTAGAATATTTTTAAAATACATGCCTCTTAAATATTTAAAAAGTTTTCTTTTCATTACTAAGGGAAATTCCCCTTATATAACAGTACTTAAAATGATGAATGATACTCCTTTAGAATCTTCCTTTCCTATTCTGCAAAACAGTCACTTGTCAAAAAAAAAAAAAAATGTTAGCTTTCTCCTAAAAGCCTTCTAGGTTGACAGAAAAGGCCTCAAAACATTTAGAAAGGTAACAGATAACTTTGTTAACAATTGATCCTCAAATTGGCTTTCTACTTGATGGTTTCATGTAAATCAGTGGAGAACATTACATTTGGCAGATTATAAACAATGCAATTTTCTTTCATTAGTGAAATTGCTGATTATATAAGGCATGGTTTTAATCTTTTTATAAAACGTGAACATGTTTTATATTCAAACTAGCATATGCTGGAAAACCTTAGAACACCCTACTTATTTACAGTGCTAGAAATACAGACTTACCTTACATCAATTTTGTCCCAAACTGAATTTCTCAGGATTACTGTGATTTGTTTCTTTCTGATTGAATTATATTGACATTCTTGTTCATAGTTGGTTTGCAGTGTTCCATCAATTTTACTTTTCCCCCATCAACATGTTGCTGTGTTTAACAAGTACAACCTTGGTCAACTTCAGAGCCCACTGTGTGTGTGACATGCTTTTCTAACATCATATATTATAAATACCTGTGCTCTTTACTGCCATGAAATTGCATTCTGAATACCAACCAAAATATTTGCCCCTTTATGAAGTCAGAAGACAACAAGTACAAGGTCACCTTTTTGGGGGTATAAATAAAGCCCTGGATTCTTAAATAGTATGAGTTCTATAAGCTCTAAAATCACTTTTGCTACCAGTCTAATCTTGCCTTAAGTAAGTTATTTTTGAATCTATAAATATAAACATACAAACCCACAGATGATGACTGGAGTGGACTTTTAAAAAATATTTTTTTTCATGAGATACTATTTTCGATGAAACTGTTACTGTATATTTAGCAACTGTTTTGAAATATTTACTGTTAGTTAGGCTTGCTTCAAGAGAAATTGTGAATATACTTCCACATACAGGCACTAGTAACACTACGTGGCCCTGTTGCTCACTATCTCAGGCAAAGTCAAGAATGGCATTTTCAGATGACATTTTGCCACCGTAGGAGTAATTTGCCAGGACTTCTTCCTGTGGAGTCATGTCTTTTTACATCTTAAGTTTTCACATTTGCCATTTTCCAAATAATCTAAATTTGGGGCAAGAATGATATAATCTCTACTATGGAGGCTGTTTTCAAAAGCAGGGCTCCATTTCTACTATCAGATAAATGTGGTGCTGTAACTGTCTTTTTATCCCTACCTTCAAGAGTTCCTTGTTTGAAGCCTGTCTTTGTCCATCAGAAGGTGTGTGAGTCATTACTTCCTTCTGATTTTATGCATTTGCAGGCTATTTATTCAGCGTTTCATCAAACTGCAAATATATACAAGAGGGATCTAAAATTAGTCCTGAGTGTTTAAATCTACTGCTGTAAGAGTAAATAATCCACCTACCTTTTCTGTGAAAAATTATGTGCTATTGAGTAACTGAGCTCTTTTTAAAAAATGGGTGAAATTTAACAGTGTCATTTTTATGAGAAAGTCATATGAAGAAATCTGAAAGGAATCTCATGTAGTCTTCCAGGAACCTATGATTGTTGTTCAGTATGCTTCAGCGTCATCTGGTTTCCAAATTGGATTGAGTACTGTTGGATCACTCAGGCATACTAATGGATTCATTAAGTGGATCCAAGCTGCAGTCCATGAGCAATAACAGACTACCCCAGATACTGCTATTTACTCAAAGCTTAGTAAATGAGATCTGTAAAGCAAATTAAGTTATTAGTTACCTGTGACTTTTTAAAAGAAGTCTTTTAGTTGATGTGGAAGAAAGAGCATGTGACACAGCCATTATGGTGGAGTGCTAGGGTAATCCTGTTTACAATAAATTGCCTGAATTTAACCTCTGGAGTTTGCATTTGTTTTATTTTTACAGTTTGACTGATCAGTCCTCAAACTCTTAGTGTCCTGATTTGACAATGTTTCTTGTTTTCATTGTTCTCCATGCAGAAAGTAGTGAATTCTGGTTTTTGTTTTGTTTAAATATATCTGGGTAATGGTGATTTAATTCAATAAATGGGTCAGCCTGACAGTTTAAGAGTACACCAGTTTCATAAAACAGAAACATCACTGACTCCATACCCAGAAAGATTTGTCTCAGGTATTACAGGGAGGAAAATAAAAAGGGTAGAAAAACTAAGTATTTCTCTTCTCTATAGCTACTCTTTGCATCTTCTTGTCACATTTCCAGCAGCAGATTAGGTAGATATTTTGTCTAGTCACTGGCTGCTCACTCCCCATCAAGGTAATCTTTCTAGTCCTGGTGTTGCCAGCTGGCTTGAATAGGCACTTCAAGAGGAAATATGCCTCGTCCTCAGTGTCCAGCCCAGGGCAGTGCATAGTGCATGCAGTCTACCCTCGTGTTCAGGGATGACGCGGAGATGCGATCCAGAGACCCTATGCAGGTTTTATGACTTGGGGCAGTTTTCTCCTCCTTTTTATGAGGAATGGGGGTCATCTGGCTCCCTGATCATATTCTCTAATATAACTTCCCTGAAAGTTTATGGTGAAAATCAAGGATTTTCACATACTTATCTTCTTTTTGTAAGTGTGGTTCCTGTCCTTCTAATCTTTCCTGGTGGGGTCTCTCACCAATTGGCTCCTGGATCCCTAGTGTTGTGTGCTGCCTAGCTAATGAAGTTCATTCTCTGTCAGCTTTAATACTGTGGTTTCTTGTGGCAATACTTTTTGGTAATACAGAATTGCTATTTTTCTCACCCAAGTCCAACTTTTCAAAGAGTTTAGAATATGTTGGGCAACTCAACTAAAGCACTCATCATAAAGCACTTTATAGATTATAGACTACTCTCACAGACTACAGAGCTCCCACAATAATCTTTTTTTGTTTTGTTTTTTTTGTGGGACCTTCGCCTGCGGCGGGAGAACGAACCGGCGCTGTAGAGGCTGCGCGCAGCCTCGCAGCCCAGCGCTCAACCGCTGCGCCATCAGGGGAGGCCCTCCCACGATAATCTTTTAACATGGGAAGATGGTGGTTAAAATTAGCATCATCATCCTCCCAGGTTTTCAAAGATGGTAGTGGCCCAGAAAGATAATTGCCTGGGATTTGGCAGGAAACACAAATTCAGACTTCCACTCCAATCTTTAAACTCCAGATTTAATTGTGCCATGTGGATACTTATAATAACAACTACCAAGTTTATTATTAATACCTAGGGAAAAAGTAGAAAGGCAATTTGCTTTTGTAAATATTCGCATGGAACTTTACCTTTTTCACATGCACTATCTTATTTAATCCCCCAATCTTTGCTCATTTTGGAGGGAGTGAGACAATACCTCCCAGTCTCTGTGCATCTCCTGTACTTCTGTGGCCAGTTACCACCCTGCCTGCAGGATCTTCCTCCTTGTTGGGATTAGTTCACATCCATACTCCCTGACCTGCTAAATCCCTTAAATCAATGCAAATTCTCCTTTACAACCCTGGAGTGATGAGACTATCTGGAACCATTTGGAAATTCAGAAAAGGAGCATGAAGAAGAGTCAATTTCATCAGACCTCACCATTCAAAAACAACCACAGTCTTTTTCTTATACATGTAGAATGGGATCATACATTCGATATTGTAACTTTTTCCTTCAATAGTCTATACTTAATATTTTTCACGTGAGTAACTCAGGAAAATATGATGTTTAATGATAATATATTGAATACTTTGCCCTAAGATCTACACCAAGATAAGGATGCTGTCACTGCTATTGAAACTATTTGAGGGCCTCCCTGGTGGCACAAGGGGTTAAAACGCAACCTATGAAGCTCTCCCCAGCCACTGCAGCACTAGATTGATTCCCAGCCCCAGAGCTTCCTGCATAACAGCTCTCCTGACTCACTCACTGCTCCCCTCAACAGTGTATTTCAGTCAATCTGCCTGTTCTGTTCCCCACTCTGTCTCTGGTGAATCCTCTCACACCCCCCCCCATACCTCTGGCCTGTACCCCAGTTCTTGTATGCATAAATAAATCTTTAAAAAAAAAGTCTTCTCTTCAAAAGATACCATTAAGAGGCAGACTGCTGACTGGGAGGAAAGAGCTTGACATTTGCACCAACAGTGATGGACCTTGAGGGCATTATGCTAAGTGAAATAAGAGAAAGACCTACCTTATTATCTCATTTATATGTGCAATCAAAAACAAACAAACCCAAACTCAATGATTCAGAGAATTGATTGGTGGTTGCCAGGGAGCTGGGGAGTGAGGGAGGTGGGGAAAATGAGGCTAGAGAGTCAAAGGTAGAAATTTTCCGTTATAAAATAAATCATGGGGCCCCCCTGGTGGCACAGGGATTAAAAACAATGCTATCAAGCTATCGCCAGCCACTGCAGCTTAAGTTGTATCCCAGGCCAGCCAGGGAGCTACCCACATGGCACAACAGACCTTTCCCGTTTTGCCTGCTGCTCCCCTCAGCAGTGTATTTCAGTAAGTCCCCCTGTTCTGTTTCTCACTCTGCCTCTGGGGAATCCTCTTTCCCGCCTCACCTCTGGCCAGCACCCCAGTTCCTGTATGCATAAATAAATCTTTTTAAAAAATAATGAAAGTATTTTATAAAAGTACACCTGAGAATGCAAGTATTAATAGTTTCACCTGATAAAGTGGGTGGTAGGAGATTTGGGGGACAGTTTGAAATTCTATAAATGGTACTACAACAGTTTATAGGACAAGTGTAAGTTCATTAATTCTAAATGTCCTTGGAGAGATTATAGCCAAAGAATCCTATTGTGATCTTATTGGTAATAATGATGACATCTATTAATCACAAAAATTACTATTTGTGGAACAATGTTTGAGAAGCACCGGCTTAGGTCCTTGCTGCTCAAGTACGAGCATCAACTGGGAGCTTGGTATTGATAGAAATGTATGAGCTTTAGGCCCCACCTCAGAATGCTGGATGAAATCTTTTTAACAAGATCCCCAGGTGAGTCAAATATACAATAAAGTTTGTGGAGCACTGCCAGGGGCACATCATTAAAATTATCCCATTTAGGTGAAAAACACAAAGAAGTCAAAGACTTGGTTTTGTACAAAACTATTTTTGAATATCCTGTTTTGTTTTTTAACCTTTTTATTTTTAATTCAAGAGGACAAAATGGTAAACAGCTCAATGATTTATCACAAAGTAACTATGTACCAGGGAGGTCTCCAGGGAAAGGGGGAGGTCCAAGTTCCCTGCCCCACCCAAGGGAGGGTGGAGCTGAGCAGGGAGGGGAAGAAGCTGGAGGGGGGAAGGAAGGAAGGAAGCAGAATGGAGAGCAAGAAGGAGACCTAGAGGAGGCACAAGGAGCAGAGAGACGTGTGAAGAAGCTGCACCTGCTATTTGGTCCTGGACTGGTTGAAACAGATGTGGGTGAGAGACCCGTGGGAGGTTAACAATGGCAGCTTTGATTTTGCTCTTTTCCTTCCAGAGTTGTCTGGCTGGCTGTCCCACTAGAAGGTGCTTTAGACTTATGGCAGGCTTTCAAGCCTCAGAGGCCCTGATTTGGGCCAACCCTGTCTGGCTGGGCATTTACCCACGAGAGGACAGGTAACTTCGGGTGCTTGATTTGGAAACTATATGCTTTCCCTTTTCTTTATTGCAGACTAATTGTATTAAAATTCTTTTCCATTAAAGGTCTTACGCACTAGAGTATGTTTTGTCTTAATGCTGCGGATGGCAGCACCTACTTGGTGCGAACAGGTTTGGGGGTTCTGGGGGGATGCCCCTCACTCTGTTCTATAACAAATACACCTATGTAATAATAACTCAGGGCAACAAATACACAATCCCTTCTTTCCCCGCTGATGTCGCAACCTCTTCCTAATACCTAAAAGTCACCACTGTCTTCACTCTGATGGCATAGGTTAGTTTTGCCTGCTTTAAATTCTATATCATGAATTTTTAAAAAAGATTTATTTACACAAGAACTGGGGGCCAGGCCAGAGGTGCGGGGGTTGAGAGGAGTCACCAGAGACAGAGTGGGGAACAGAACAGGCAGATTGCCTGAAGTACACTGCTGAGGGGAGCAACAGAGTGAGTAAGGAGAGGTCTGCTGCGCCCTGTGGGTTGCTCCCCAGCTGGACGGGGATCAAACTCATTTTGCAGAGGCTGTGGACAGCTTCATAGTATGGTGCTTAACCCCTTGCGCCACAAGGGAGGCCCCTTTTCACTCTTTTAATAATATGTATTTTATGCAAGTTTTCTATCTTTCAGTGAGAGTGTTTAGAATCACCTAGTCCACAACTGCCAAAGCAAAACTTGGTCTCCCTTTTATTAACTACATTTATATCAGTAATGCATGTGTCATGATGAAGACTGAGCAGTTATTAATGAGGAATTAGTTTGAGAAGTTTTTTCATAGATAACAAGGTGAGAAAGAAGCTGATTTTAACAATAAAAGATTTAATGAACAAAAAGATGATGGGAAAAACCTGGCATTTAAGATACTTGAAGTCCCGGTGTCTATAGGGCCTTCAGAATTTTCATTTTACAATGTTGTTGTTGGGTTTTTTTCCTGAGAATTAAAGATATCAAGATCAGATTGAAACCACTTGACAGTTTAGCCCAGGGACTAATCTGATTGTGTGGTAAGTGTGTGTGTTCAGCACTTTCTGCTGCATCCATCACAAAGGAAGTAATTTAGATTGCTTATATTTTTAGCAATTCCTTGATGATTTCTCCACTGCAAGGTGGGATAAGTCTTTTGGAAGATTATAGAATTTGCCTACATTGCTCTCTCCTTTATGCAATTGTATAGGTGGAATGACTGTCTAGTACTCATCAGTTAGAGCTTCTTCTAACTCAGTGATTCTTAAAATTAGCTGCAGATCTTTTTGGAGGTTTTGTTGTTGTTTGT